TGTGACGACTGTGGGTTCTGTAGGTGATAACAAACCATCTCATTGTGACGACTGTCGGTTCTGTAAGCGATAAAAGACCATCTCATTGTGACGACTGTCGGTTCTGTAAGCGATAACAGACCATCTCATTGTGACGACTGTGGGTTCTGTAGGTGATAACAAACCATCTGATTGTGACGACTGTCGGTTCTGTAGGCGATAGCACACCAACTGATTGTGACGACTGTCGGTTCTGTAAGCGATAACAGACCATCTCATTGTGACGACTGTGGGTTCTGTAGGTGATAACAAACCATCTCATTGTGACGACTGTCGGTTCTGTAGGCGATAGCACACCATCCTCCCTCATTGTGACGACTGTCGGTTCTGTAGGCGATAACAGACCATCTCATTGTGACGACTGTGGGTTCTGTAGGTGATAACAAACCATCCCATTGTGACGACTGTCGGTTCTGTAGGCGAAAGCACACCATCTGATTAATGACGACTGTGATTCTGTAGGCGATAACAGACCATCTCATTGTGACGACTGTGGGTTCTGTAAGCGATAACACACCACCATTGTGACGACTGTCGGTTCTGTGAAGCGATAACAGACCATCATCTGTAGGTGATAACAGATCATCTCATTGTGACGACTGTCGGTTCTGTAGGCGATAACACACCATCTCATTGTGACGACTGTCGGTTCTGTAGGCGATAACACACCATCTCATTGTGACGACTGTCGGTTCTGTAGGCGATAACAGACCATCTCATTGTGACGACTGTCGGTTCTGTAGGCGATAACAGACCATCTCATTGTGACGACTGTGGGTTCTGTAGATAACGACCATCTCATTGTGACGACTGTCGGTTCTGTAGGCGATAGCACACCACCATCTCATTGTGACGACTGTGGGTTCTGTAGGTGATAACAGACCATCTCATTGTGACGACTGTGGGTTCTGTAGGTGATAACACACCATCTGATTGTGACGACTGTCGGTTCTGTAGGCGATAAAAGACCATCTCATTGTGACGACTGTGGGTTCTGTAGGTGATAACAGACCATCTCATTGTGACGACTGTGGGTTCTGTAAGCGATAACAGACCATCTGATTGTGACGACTGTGGGTTCTGTAGGTGATAACAAACCATCTGATTGTGACGACTGTCGGTTCTGTAAGCGATAACAGACCATCTGATTGTGACGACTGTCGGTTCTGTAAGCGATAACAGACCATCTCATTGTGACGACTGTCGGTTCTGTAGGTGATAACAAACCATCTGATTGTGACGACTGTCGGTTCTGTAGGCGATAGCACACCATCTCATTGTGACGACTGTGGGTTCTGTAGGTGATAACAAACCATTTCATTGTGACGACTGTCGGTTCTGTAGGCGATAGCACACCATCTCATTGTGACGACCGTGGGTTCTGTAGGCGATAACAGACCATCTCATTGTGACGACTGTCGGTTCCGTAGGTGATAACAAACCATCTCATTGTGACGACTGCGTTCTAAAGACCACGCAAGTCCATCTCATTATCATATGGACGATCAGTATCTTATTATGGGTCTTTAGACGGCGATTGCCCTTCTCATTGTTTTACTGAAACTAACAGACCAACTGTGGCGACTGTGGGATCTATAGACGATAACAGACCATATCATTGTGGCGACTGTGGGTTCTTAGGCGATAAATGGCCAATACTGTGGGGTTATACTTCCGATATCAGTCCACTCATTGTTCCAGAGATGATAACTTCCCATCTAATTGTAAAGAATTGGTTCTAAGGACAATGGCCATCCTGTCATTGTTCTGTAGATGATGACCTCGCATCTCGTAGCGAAGACCGGTCTCTGTAGACGATGACAGTGATTTTTTGTTTTATACTGCTGACGAGATGAAATGTTTCTGATGCTCGAATTCGGTTTGTATTTCTGTAATGCCATAGAAACATTTACTTTTTCTTCTTGTGTACAGTACATACAGGTAATGACGGATTCTACACGTGGGTGGGAATTTCTTTGTTATCCACATCCTGCATATAACTGTAGAGCGAGTGGTGTCTTTTCCAGCGTATTCCGTGTCAGCGTGACTTATAACAACCATGCGCAGTAATGTCAATAATTAAGATCAATAATGTTATATTTACGTCAGTTATTAAGAAGTGACTTCCCCTTTATGGAGTTAAATGTAGCAATAACCTACGTAGAATGAGGGCATAACTCTCTGAACGCCGAGGCCTGAGAATATTTATATTACCAGTGATGTAATACATGTGGAATATTTCATGAAGATTATAAAAAAAAATCATGTTCACAGCGTTTTTCTTATTTGCTCAACTTTGTGATTATGTATCCATTATTAACGAATGCCTCTCAAACAGTTCATTATCATCATGACAGTATTTCAAAAGAGATCTAATGAATGGCAGCCAGATTCAACTCCTGCGTTCCACAAGTATTTCACATCCCCAGAGTCTGTTTATCATATTTGAATGTCTACCCTGTACGTGCGTGCGCGCATGTACATGTCTCAGGTACCGCAGAATATTATCATGTCAGAAAACATGTTCATGAACACAGGCAAAGGCGGGTCCTTAGGGTTTTAGAAGACGGTACTGTGCCTCAGTTTAATTTTGTCAGTTGGCTAGCTTTTTGGATTGTTTAACCAGGGAGACTATATAAGGGGGTGTTGTAGATTATCCCTGGTTTAACACAACTCTCCTAAACAATTACATGTTATCGAGCTTCATATCTGGTTCCAGAGATCATACAATAGATATCATATGGTCTCTGTTGATTCTTATAAAAATGGGTTGGGTACGTTCCTCATACAACCCTCTTCCTCTGCCCCTCCCTCACACACGCCCGCACCTAGTTTCCTGGATATTGTTCATAGATCAAACACTTTTAAACCCTTATAGGGCCCCATCAAGCACCTGTCAGTTGATGGGCAAGACACTGGAACTGACAAATGTGTCACGCATAATTATTTAACAGTTGAGGCAACGCTTACTAAATGCAAAACTTGAACATGAATCAATGAATGAAAATTGAAGATGAAAATTTATCATCGTTTCAACGAAACAAGGAAGTACATCACGTGGGGGATGTGTTTACCATTTTCTCCAGTGGGGACCAGTTAGTGTGCAGTTGTAAAATTCTCACGTTATTCTCGACAGTTTTGTTGTAAGGTAATATATATTTCTTGTTGCCATTTTTCATATATATTTGTATCTGTCTGTATTATGTAAATGATAATAAATTCTGTTTAGAAGATGATGATTTATGTTGCGGCTAGGATGAATTACTGACAAACAACTAGTCCTCTTGAACACAATCATGGCGGCTGCTACGGCTGAAGATGCGCTGCGAGAAGTTTCCAAAGAACTTAAACAGTATACCTTCACACCAGAGCCCATTCCGAGGCTTAGTTGTACAGATCCAAAGGCTGAGAAGTTAATTGCTAATGAAGTAAGTACTGTTTCATTTAAGTTAGACAAGGCAATCGCTGGCATAACGCTTGACAGGGGCCGCATGCCCATTGTTTACATTTTCAACACCTGGATCACACAAGTGACTAACAGTTAATTCTCCCTTGTTGGTAAATGAGGTTAATAAGAAATATATTATGACAGTAGTATCTTTTATTTCATGTTTGCATTCTCATTTCTGGTGCTTTTGTAAATTTGTACGATGCAGGAGACCCGTTCAGCGTAGAGAATATGCGTACGTGACTTAACGCGTGTAGTCAATGGCACAGTCTCCAGATGAAATTTTTGTACTGTATTTGTATAAATGACATGACTCAGATGTCACTTTTCAGCCACAGCATGTTAAATATCACGTACACAGACTTTTTACTATATTTTCCATATATTTTTCTAGAGTGTTTCCCTTATTATATTAATTATTTTGTGAATATTTAAGTCAGAAGTGACTAATGCCAATATTGAATAAGAATGATTTTATGCAAGTTAATGCAGGCGGATCTAACAAAATGAAAGGAATGTATGTTCTCTCACATACAAAAGCTACTAAGAGCTCAATACTTATTTAGTTTAATAACTGATTGGATCTGCAAAATAACAGCACCACTTTCAAGTAATTGTTGTGTCATATTTTGTTTTGTTTGTTTAAATTTATTGGTTGTTTTTAATTTTACAAAATTAATTTACAAAAGTCAAATGTCTACCCTGTACGTGCGTGCGCGCATGTACATGTCTCAGGTACCGCAGAATATTATCATGTCAGAAAACATGTTCATGAACACAGGCAAAGGCGGGTCCTTAGGGTTTTAGAAGACGGTACTGTGCCTCAGTTTAATTTTGTCAGTTGGCTAGCTTTTTGGATTGTTTAACCAGGGAGACTATATAAGGGGGTGTTGTAGATTATCCCTGGTTTAACACAACTCTCCTAAACAATTACATGTTATCGAGCTTCATATCTGGTTCCAGAGATCATACAATAGATATCATATGGTCTCTGTTGATTCTTATAAAAATGGGTTGGGTACGTTCCTCATACAACCCTCTTCCTCTGCCCCTCCCTCACACACGCCCGCACCTAGTTTCCTGGATATTGTTCATAGATCAAACACTTTTAAACCCTTATAGGGCCCCATCAAGCACCTGTCAGTTGATGGGCAAGACACTGGAACTGACAAATGTGTCACACATAATTATTTAACAGTTGAGGCAACGCTTACTAAATGCAAAACTTGAACATGAATCAATGAATGAAAATTGAAGATGAAAATTTATCATCGTTTCAACGAAACAAGGAAGTACATCACGTGGGGGATGTGTTTACCATTTTCTCCAGTGGGGACCAGTTAGTGTGCAGTTGTAAAATTCTCACGTTATTCTCGACAGTTTTGTTGTAAGGTAATATATATTTCTTGTTGCCATTTTTCATATATATTTGTATCTGTCTGTATTATGTAAATGATAATAAATTCTGTTTAGAAGATGATGATTTATGTTGCGGCTAGGATGAATTACTGACAAACAACTAGTCCTCTTGAACACAATCATGGCGGCTGCTACGGCTGAAGATGCGCTGCGAGAAGTTTCCAAAGAACTTAAACAGTATACCTTCACACCAGAGCCCATTCCGAGGCTTAGTTGTACAGATCCAAAGGCTGAGAAGTTAATTGCTAATGAAGTAAGTACTGTTTCATTTAAGTTAGACAAGGCAATCGCTGGCATAACGCTTGACAGGGGCCGCATGCCCATTGTTTACATTTTCAACACCTGGATCACACAAGTGACTAACAGTTAATTCTCCCTTGTTGGTAAATGAGGTTAATAAGAAATATATTATGACAGTAGTATCTTTTATTTCATGTTTGCATTCTCATTTCTGGTGCTTTTGTAAATTTGTACGATGCAGGAGACCCGTTCAGCGTAGAGAATATGCGTACGTGACTTAACGCGTGTAGTCAATGGCACAGTCTCCAGATGAAATTTTTGTACTGTATTTGTATAAATGACATGACTCAGATGTCACTTTTCAGCCACAGCATGTTAAATATCACGTACACAGACTTTTTACTATATTTTCCATATATTTTCTAGAGTGTTTCCCTTATTATATTAATTATTTTGTGAATATTTAAGTCAGAAGTGACTAATGCCAATATTGAATAAGAATGATTTTATGCAAGTTAATGCAGGCGGATCTAACAAAATGAAAGGAATGTATGTTCTCTCACATACAAAAGCTACTAAGAGCTCAATACTTATTTAGTTTAATAACTGATTGGATCTGCAAAATAACAGCACCACTTTCAAGTAATTGTTGTGTCATATTTTGTTTTGTTTGTTTAAATTTATTGGGGTTTTAATTTTGCAAAATTAATTTACAAAAGTCAATATGTACTGTGTTTAACTGAACTATGCTACATTTGAAATGGTTTTTTTTTGGCTATTTCTTTGTTTATTTCAAATACTTCTATACAATGTTATAAAAACCAGCCTTAACTTGTTAACTGTAAAAATTCTCATTTTTTGGATTATAGGCAGTAATTTCTTTCAAACGTTTGTTGGTCGATCCAACCTCAGGGTCAGAATTTTTTTTTTTCTAAGTGTGCCTTAGGGCACCAGGCAAATATTTTAAATGTGCCTTTCAGAAATGTGCCCACGTTTTTAGAATAAATAACTGTAGCAATGATGATGCTCATTTGAAATTTATTGTTAGTAAACAACAAATGTAACCTGTTTTCTGTTATCACTGATATGTCTTCTGTTTAAGATGGCTTTCTTAAGCTTCATTTGTTCTACTTTCCCAACACCTTTAATAGTTAAGAATTTTGTGACAGGTTCACTTGTTCAAGATATCTAACATACACAATTTCCTTTTCAATAACCAAACTATCAGTACTCCCATCACTCTAGATGGAAAAAACAACCACATTTCTTTACATCATCCATCGTAATTCCAGTGATTTCCTGGGCAATAAAGTCAATAAATGTTTTTGCTTGTTTGTCATTTGTGTAAGTGTTTTGTTTGGGGGATTAAATGACTAAAGGTGATTTATGTCTCTAAACATTTAGGCGTGCCTTAAGGGCACCGAGAACATTCTTTATCCGTGTCATTTCAATATTTACTGTGCCATGGCACGCTAATATATGGGGTATTTTGAACCTTGAACCTAATTATTATTATTATATTCTGATGCCTGCAGTGTTATTTCTAAAATCGCCAAAAGCCTATTTTTCCTGATTTTTTAAGTTATTGAAAATATGAAGTTTAATGTACATAAAGTAGGCTGCCAGGAGAGTTTTACCTTGACTTATCAATAAATTTTACGGGTGCTTGCTGGTGATGTAAGGGTCCTTTAAAGTATTGAATTGGTGTAGTGAATTGTACGTTTAGGGGCCGTGGGGTAGCCTAGTGGTTAAAGCGTTCGCTCATCACTCTGAAGACCTGGTTCGATTCCCCTCATGGGTACAATCAGGGTTGCCACAGGTCAGGGAAAAGTCAGGGAAGAAATTATTTTTTCAAGATCAGGGAAAAGTCAGGGAATTTTGTTACCAGTCAGTGAAAATTGAAGTTTTGGAAAAGAAATTTCCTTTGCAGGGCTCGAAAAATTTAAAAATCTGCACTCGTCCTGTAGGGCGAGAAATATGAACTTTCCACTCATCCTTCTAAAATTGTACTTGCCCTATAGATCATGCATCACAATAAATATACAGTCAAATCCCGATGAGTCGAATGTCGGTGTCTCGAATATTATTCATAACTCGAAGTACCTGTCGGTCCCGACCATTCCCTGTTATAGTTGTCATCATTTGAATACGGGTTACACGAATTCGTCTCATAAATACACACGATGACTCGAGAAGGAAATTTGGTCCCATGGGATTCAAACAACAGCAATCTTGTATACATAAGCCGAAGTCAGTCAATGAGAAGTTGATTGCAAACTGATCCAATTAACAAACCAGCGCGGCTCACACCTTTCCGCCATTGACGGGTGAGTTCAAAAGGCAGATTGGTGATTTTACGGAAATCACTGTCTGTGCTAATCAGACTGGAACTCATAAGGTGCCCCTATTAGTGATAGGGAAATCATTAGATAAACAAATGCTTAGGCGGCGGAATTAGGACTGGATCATCTTTTTTTCTACCCTCATAGACATACCTATGTCTCAAATACATTGATAAGTCGAATTTATTACTTGGTCCCCAGCGATTCGACTCATCAGGATTTGACTGTATATTTAAATTATTTTATTTCAAAATGTTTGCTTGGAATAAAACTACAATAAACATTACTAAATTTGTCTTCTGTACAAAATATTTGACAAAATTGAATTCGTTGTCCATTTACGATAGCTGAACTTCAAGGTAAAAGAGCGGATGAGTGGAATTTTCGAGACCTGCTTTGGTCAGGGAAAACTATTTCTTTTCAGACTTCACTGAGGCAACGATTGTATGATTTTGAGTTCCTAGGCTGTATTAAATGTGTTTTTGTTTAGAGATTGGTATTATGAACTTTAATTTACTTGTTTTGGAAGTGTCCACTTGTAGACATATTTTGGAATAACTTCCATAGATGGTTGACACAGATATGTGACCAAATATTCAATCTGAAGCTCTCTGCTGAACTTTTTATATTTGGGTGTGACTCAAATACTGTCACAGCAGGGGCGGATACAGCTTTTTGAGAAAGGGGGGGTGCACACTATTGAGAAAAGGACTGACTGACTGACTGAGTTTGGTTTTACGCCGCTTTTAGCAATATTCCAGCAACATCACGGTGGGGGACACCAGAAATGGGCTTCACACATTGTACCCATGTGGGGATTCGAACCCGGGTCTTCGGAGTGACGAGCCAACGCTTTAACCATTAGGCTACCCCACCGGCCCTGAGAAAAGGAGGGGTGCAAACTTCATTTTCACCCGAGTTTCAATGGTCATTAAACAAACTTTCAGCACAAAAGGGGGGGTGCGCACCCCTGCACCCCCCTCTGGATCTGCCTATGCACAGATACTGTTTTTGACCTCTTACTATCAATGGCTATATTTTTTGTGTATAAATGTTGGTGTCATGGAGTAAAACCACACATTGATGGTTTTGAGAAAGTGTGTGAACAGAGATATTCTATTGAGAAAATTAGTTTCTCAAGCAGAAGTAAACTCAATACATTTTATACAAAGTTTGCATTCTATCATCCACTTTTCAAGTAATCCAGCAAAAGTATAAGTGAAAAGCAGACACAGTGAAAAGCTAGCAGTTTATTTTAAACTCACAACAGTACTAGTTTGAATGTGAGAGTGAATAAGTTTTTTTTTTTTTTAGAAAAATGTCATAATTTCTACCAGTAAGATTTCATACTATACAAAGTCACCCTCTTCCTGGAGGTGATCCTCAATCTTGCAACAGGGACTTTTTGACAATAAAAACATTGAAATTGAAAAAGAAAATCAAAACTTATATGTCAAGAGTTTGCCAGAGGTAATATTTCTGTGTCATACACTTCATCTTGATGTTAGATGGATCTCTGTATTTGTTTGATTACATTTGGTTACTTTGTCCAAAGATTTCACTTTGTCTTAAGTAAAATGGATGGAAAGGTCGGTCGGCTGTCGGGGAGGTTGGAGGCCAAAATTTTATTTGTTTTCTTTTAATTTTGATGAGTGAAAAATCAAATTGCTCAGGGAAAAGTCAGGGAAATTGAACTTTCGTCATCTGTGGCAACCCTGACAATGTATGAAGCCCATTTCTGTTGTCCCCTGCCGTCATATTGCTGGAATATTGCTAAAAGTGGTGTAAAACCATACTCACCCTCTCATTCACTGTACGTTCTCAGCCTGGAAAGAATCAGTGATCATGTGGACAATGGTTATGACTGATGGGTGAAATAAAAGACACAGATAACTACTCATAATGCACTGTAGGTAGGCTCTTGGTATTGTTGTGCGTCTCTCCGAATGCAATATTTTGGGTTTTCTGCTGTTAAAGTAAAAAAGTGACATTTTCAAGGTTGCTTTCAACATTAGACTTCAGTTCATTTCATAAGTTTTCTATAAGCACTTGTGAATGTATTCTTTTGTCATAGTTTTTAGTCATAATTGAGTGCATTGCCATGGAAGTATTGTATTGTGAATGTTGACATGAATTAGTCGATATAATTGGCTGAGGTTAACTCGTGTTCTACTTTCTTCAGCAACCTGTCATCTTAACTGACACAGACCTTGTGAAGTCCGCACACCACTGGAACCTGGATTACTTGGGGTCGAACATTGGCGAGGGTACATACACTGTATACTCCTCAAGTAACCACAAGTTCCTCTACTTCGATGAAAAGAAAATCAGTTATGTGCCTGGTTTTGTCCCACCCACAAAGCACATGGATCTGACCTTTGATGAGTTTGTGGGCAAAGTGAAGAAGAGCAGCTCAAGTTCTGAAAGGTACAGTTGTTACAACATCCATCAACTGGCTTGTGTAGTGTACACTCATATAGTGTGTTGTATTTTCAGTGATACTGCAAAAATAGTATACAGGTTGTAGTCATCATTGTAACCATGCGAAATGGTGTAGAAGGGCTTTGGTGGCCAAGTCTGATGTTGTTAAGTTTCATCCCTTGGTGGTGGTGGAATTGGGTTTAACGTTGTGCTTGAGAATATTTCGCTCATATGACGACGTGCATGCGTGTGTATGTGTATGTGTGGCTGCTTGTACTAGCCCAGACTTAAGCTGGTTTTATAGTGCTAGCCCACTGAGATACCATGCCGCAGTGAAGCATGAATACCCCACTCAGACACATTATACTGACTCCAAGCCGACCAGTCCTTGTTGTACCCATTAATGCCGAGCGCCAGGCAGGGACCAACAAGTACCATATTTTAACGTCTTTTGGTATGACGCAGTCGTGGATCGAACCTGGACCTTCCGCACTCCGGGCGGACGCTCTAACCACTACACCACGGAGGCGGTCTTCATCCCTTGGATGGGCTTCATGAGTGATTATGTATGTTGCACATCAGTCCATTTCTTCAAAGTGAGATCTTTACTCAGATACAAAACCTCTCCATGTGAAGATCTGAGGACACCTCCAAGCAAGGTTGTATCGGGCAAATTTAAACTGTCCCATCTCAAAAGAAGCAATAGGTTCTCCAGCCAATGAGCTGTTTCAGCAATATGAAGTTGAATTTTGATTTGTACAAATGGACACTCAAATAGTATGTAAATATTTCTTTGATGGTACACTCCCTTTTAGGATGTAGATGCCATCGTATTTGGATGCCACAGGATGTATGAGGTTTTCATAATGACATAAGGGTGCTGCTATACTTTCCACTTTTGAAATTGTTGTTTTAGTTTTGGGATTCAGTTTAATATTCTGGTTGGAATGCTTTGCTTACTCACAAAGCGTGAAGCCAGCGAGGAATCTTAGATAATTCAGTTCTGTTAAGGATTTGTTTCTGGTATTTAGAAATAGACTAGCCCTGGCTCCACGGCTGGTTATTCCCAAGTGTGGAGTACATTTGTGTAGTACTAGTTTGGTAAGGGTACATCTCTGTGTACAGAAATGTAAATGTGAAACATATCCTGCATGACATCATTTGAAGTGTATTGAGTAGTGGTACTAAGTCTTTTGTTGTCATCTTGTTATGAATTTTTCATTTTGCTTTACGATGTGCGACTAGACTGTTATTGAAAGAAAATGGACCTGATTATTTACAGGTCACTATCATGTAACTGAAATTTGACTGAATGTGAACATGACACAAACAAACAAGCAAACAAACAAACAAGCAAACATTATTATTTGTAACGTGTTGTACCAGGTACTACCTCCAGCAGGCTTTGAATGACTCCGTGGACCAGCAGATCGTGATGGACTTCATGGGCTTCAACTGGAACTGGATCACGGAGCAGCAGAGGAAGTACAAGTGGGGGCAGCTCACCTCCAACCTGCTGCTCATAGGCATGGATGGTGTGTACTGAAGGTGTCCATGGCCCCATACTGTACTGTACATCAGTACTGTACATACTATCTAGGGATGTAATGATCTTCATTTTTTTATCATCCAAAACTGTGTTCCACAGGAGATATTGCTTGTGTGAGATCATACGATATCTCCTAGAAGATATCATTTTGACAGTAGATTTTGTACAATGCCCTGACAATGCTATGATGTCATGAAATTGATGATGTCACAATGCTATGATATCGCTGCTCTGCAAGTGTAATGGCAGTACCGTGTTCACAGATGTACATTTTTCATTGAAAACTAAAGAAGTGTGATTTTCGATGATAAATAGAATCTCACCATCGTGTCTTCTGATATCAAATATATCAACACTCGTTGATAAAAGTAAAAATATCCTCGGCAAGCCTCGGATATTTGTAACTTTATCTACTCGTGATGATATATTTGATATCAAAAGACACTCGGGTGAGATTCTCTATTTATGTATCCATTGGCTTCAGTCCGAAATACTTCCTGCTTGAAAAGGCACATGGGTATCCTTACAGAAAATGCTCTTGATTGTTGTCTGACAGTAATTGGGGTATGTCCTTTATTCACCAGTAACATCTAAAGCACTGTGCTATATCTTGGACGCAAGCAGTGACAGGCGATTATGGTAGGAGTGTTAAGAGTTAAGTCAATTTGCATTTGTCAGTGTATCTAAACACATTTGAGTGTCAACATATTAAAAACAAAATATTTCTCAGTTTGGATAGAAGTTAAGATCTTCACTTGTTGTGGTTGATGGGCAGCTTTGTCCTCATGACATTGTTTTTCTAATTGTCTCAAGGGGTTTTTGGGCTGCTGAGTTTGGTTAGTTCAGGCCCTTAGTTACAGGGTGTGAAGCATCCATTGGCATGAAATCCAGCGCCCTACTCCACCATCTCACTCAGTCACTCACTACATGGTGTTGGTTGCTATAAAATACCATTAACTTGTTCGTCAGTGCCAGATTCTGTTCTGTAATAGTGTACCGTATTTTCAGGTGTCATCACGCCAGCTCATTACGATGAACAACAGAACTTCTTCGCTCAGATCCAGGGCTACAAACGTTTCCTGTTGTTTGAACCGTCCCAGTTTGAATGTCTCTACCCGTACCCTATATACCACCCTCATGACCGACAGAGTCAAGTGAGTTCTCATGTAACATGTCACATCACTGTTAAAACTTTCCAAAATATTTTAATTGTTGCTTTGTTGAGAATTTCAGCATGGTTAATTTTGTTGTTGTTGTTTTTGGTTTTTGTTGAATGCTGCACTCAGCAATATTCCATGTGTACAACAAATGAGAAGTTTGATACATATATTTGTTGCAGAGAGGGATGTACAACATGTAAAAACATTCATGTGGCCACAGTAGAGTAATTTGTATTATTCTTTTATGTATAAATGTGTAAAAATAGAAATAAATAAATGTTCTCAACTGGTAACAAATCTACAAATTATGTTTTGATTGTATCTCAGGTTGATTTTGACAACCCTGACTTCAAGAGATTCCCCAAGTTTAAAGATGTGAAGGGACACGAGGCAGTTGTTGGACCCGGGGATGTTCTGTACTTGCCTGTGTATTGGTAAGTACCATATTTCCTCTAATAAGCGCCGGGGATAAAGCAGCTCACTAACAATTACGGTAATTAGACCCAGTCAGCGCAAAAGCACCGGGCCTCTAATAAGCGCCGGGCTTGGAACTCTGTTGAAAAAATAAGCACCCAGGTGCTTATTAGAGGAAATACGGTAGTTTCATTGTTGTATATTTTTTCTAATAGAGTTAGACCTCCTTAGTTGAGAGACATTTAGAAGTTGGAGTACTAATCAGGATAAGATTAATGGATGAACAACTTGTTTATTACAGTGAGATGAGATGTTTCGGTGTAGATTCTAGACTGTATCAAGCAAGTGACGTAAAGTCGCCCCTCATTGTAATGAAGTTGTTCATCCATATATCCTATCTTTACTTAGTCAAGCCCCTGTTTAGGAGTGGCAGCCTCCATGATTTAATGGGGGCGATGGGGTAGCCTAGAGGTTAAAGCGTTCGCTCGTCACGCTTAAGACCCGGGTTCGATTCCCCATGTGGGTACAACGTGTGAAACTCATTTCTGGTGTCCCCTGCCGTGATATTGCCGGAATATTGCTAAAAGCGGCGTAAAACTAAACTCACTCAGTCACTCAATCCATGATGTAATGGATAGAGCATCTGCCCAGACAGAGCTGAAGATCATTCATCAGATCCCCAGCCACATCATACCAAAAGTTGTTGAACTATGGTACTATGGTTACTTGTTGTTACCCTGTCTTGTCAGCATTAAGGGTATAAATGGTCAGACTGGAATAGGTATACTGTGTCATTTGTCTGGGCCAGTACAAGCAGCCAAACACACTCACAGATGTGCAGATGTGCATGTATTGCCTAAGGAGAAAGCACATATATCACATGTGTTTCATTGTGGGGCAGGACTGAAAGTCCTAGAAACTCTCAGAAGCCAAGCTGCCAAACACGGTCACCCATCCATGGACTCTCCGAGCTCAACGTTGCTGAAATTCAACTGATTTGTAACCTGAGCTCTGTGCAGAGAACCACATGCTCATTATTGAGTCATGGATTGCAGTAAACATGAATGAAACCTTAAACCCCATTTTACCTCAAATTTTGTTTCTTGTCAGAGGGACACCTAACTGTAGTTTGTAATACGCATTCAACTGTACCGGTAATATACAGCAAGTGTCTGGGACAAGAACAAAGTCAGTTTGTTACAAGTGTGTTTCTTGTAAGTGTAGTTTACTGTGCTGTATAATTGCAGGTGGCACCAAGTGGAGTCTGTGCCTAATAGAGGTGTTACTGTGTCTGTCAACTTCTGGTACAAGGTTTGTATAATTGATAATTACACAGCTTCATGTCAATCTGCAGGCTTTAAGGATCCTGCCACATCACCTTGTGTTTGAATCCAAATGGTCCTTGGCCATTCCGGGGATGTTACTATGTTACCCCTGTTACCAAATCATTTTGGCAAGTTTATATGTCATATCAAGGCTCAAGCTCATTATTGAGATCATGGATTGCAATTAACTTTCTTTACCACTGACCTCAAGAATTTACTGCAGGTCAGTGAATCTTGTTACATGCCATTTTGTAGGTTATGGCCCAGACTGGAATAGATCATGAGTAAAAAAAACATTTAGGATTTTCCTTTCATGGGGCTGCAAGGTTGAGAAGGCAGAACATGTGTAGATGAGAATAAGCCAGTTTCACATTTTAGCTTTTTCATGATCAGTTTTAACAGTCTTGAGAAAAAGTCATGTATATATCTCAGAAAGAGCTGTAGCCTGTGTAATTTTTAATACAGATATTTTATATACTAGTAGTCCATTTTGATAGGCAAACATCAATTTAACCCCAAATCACTGTTTGTTTATTTCAAAGATCTTTTAAGCCCCTATAAAACATTCATTAAACACCTCTACATGATTATGTACATTGTGTTCAGTCTGGTCCGACGGAGAAGGTAGTGTACCCACTGAAGCCCCAGCAGAAGGTCGCCATGATGAGGAACATCGAGAAGATGATCACAGATGCCCTCAATGATGCCAACGAGGTGATTCCTGCACCATACAGCAGTGTTATAACAGTACAACACACATAGAACTGGTTTAGTATACCTAGACTTGAACCTAGTTGAATATAACACACACACCATACAGCAGAGTTATAACAGTACAACACACATATAACTGGTTTAGGATACCTAGACTTGAACCTTGTTGAATATAACACACACACCATGCACGCATGCAAACACACACAGACATGCACGCACATAAGCACACACACATACACACACACAAATGATTTTGTGTACTGATAAAGTGAGCTTTTAAGCCTTAACTTCAGAGCACTTCTAATCCATATTTGAGTTTTTCTGAACTCATATGCGTATATGAAGCACCTTAACAAATTTGGAGGATATCTGTTTCCTCTTTAATATGATGCACTCGCTTCTTGTTTGACAATGATACACAACACAGATGATGAAAGGTGCCTCTTTGCTTCACGTTTTGATTGGTTCATTGGTTTTGGTTTGTTCCATTCCACTCATAATATATGCATGAGCATTAATCAAGCACCACGCACTTAGTTGTATATAAGTATGAAAACATTACATTTTGTTGTATATGCTTTGAAAACCAAATTCTGCATATTAAAATGGTAACTGTGTCATGTTTTACTCTGATTTAAACAAAAATAAATAATTAGGTGTGGTCACCTTGACTATGCCATGACCTATCAGATTGTCAGATGATGATTGTTGGGATTGTATGAACAGAATTGTATACAGAAACGTACCTTGGCCATAATGAGAATACAGAAACGTACCCAAGGACGATTCCATTCCCATTGTGTCGTATTCTTGACGGGAATGGTCATACTGTTGTATTAGATACATTTGATTGTGTTATGTAAGTAATGAGAATACACCGTAACGGATATTTGCGATGCACATGAATACCACTCGCAATCAGTTGGAACGGGAACAACTTCGTGCGGTTCCGATTTTGGATTGCGGAATATGGACTCATCCGCCTTTTAGGGTACCGGGTACGTTTCTGTATTTTAACTTTGTTTAGGGTACATATCTGTATACAGAACTGTACCTGGGGTACATATCTGTAGTACCTGTGCCGACAACGACCCCTTCAGCTGAAGTAGTTGCTACATATTGCTTTGTGAGAACCTTTTAACATTGGTCATGCTCAGAACAGGGAAGATCTAATGCTAATTTCTTTGTTTCAGGTTCCACCGTTTTTAAGAACAATGGTGCAGGGAAGATACACATGAGATATCCGAACCACCAACCATATATCAGCTCTATTTATCACCATCATCATAATCACCTTCATGAAGCTGTCATTTCATCACCTGTTTGTTGATCACCTGTTGACATGTTGAAACTATCTGGTACTGACCAACACTGGGCTATATTCAGTTTTTTAGTTTCGGTTTCGGAAGAGGAGCCAAAGGGACAATCATAAGAAAAACATTCAAATTAATTTTTTTATATATGCCAAGCTGCTCCATATTAGAAACATATAAAGAAAACAAAACTGAAGTATTTGTTGATGTTTACTTCATGAATAATAATTGGTCAAATGTTATGTGTGGAGTCTGGTCAGTGGAAATGTGTTTTGGAGAGAACAAAACTTATATATATTACAAAACATGCTGTAATTTTATTGAATTAGCTTATATTTTCCCCTTTAAACCAACCGTTAAAATATTCAGCTGCCGTATGTTATTTATATTATTTACAGAAGTTTACTGGTTGCACCCCAAATTTAAGTATATAATGCATGACCATAATCACCTGACCTGTTAAGGTATGGTTCAATGGTCAAGTAGATAGTGCATTTGCTTGTTTCTTAGAAGACCTGGGTTATATTCATGTAGAAAATGTGCCATGCCGTTAAAAGTGCTAATAAGGGTAGAAATACTTCAGGTGCTTGTGTTACATAAGTCTAGCTCCATGTCTCCATTGAGATACTGCTTTTGGGGGGGGGGGAGTTCAGGTATACTGGCAACTGGCAATCAAAACAAGTTATGTTCAAGTTTCTTTAACACCTAACTCTTTGTCTGTTAGCTCAAAATTATTGGCAGTTAAACTGCTAACAATTGCCTTAATTTCACAAAACCAATGCCCAGTTTCACACATGGGGGCTAATCACAAGGTCTTGACTTAGACTGGGAGGCACAGTGGGACTGTATTAATACATATTGACAAGGATTCTGATAGAAGCAAACAGTCCTAACTGCACGCTTGTTTTTCATCCATTTTGAAAATTATGCAGTGTTGTTGGAACATGGGTTTATCAGTCCTGGAATTGTCTTGCTGATATTTTATTTATATCATTTTTTCACAGAAATATGTTGCATATCATACAAGGTCCACAGTTACTACTTTGCCATTGTTTTTCACATTGCAGAATTAGTATTAGTCAGTCTTTAGGAAAACAGTCCCAAGTCCTTATCCTTGACCCTTGAGTTGTAATCCCAACATTTTTGTTGTTGTTATTGTTATTTTAGATATATTTTGTTATCTGAAAGGAGTTTAGCACTTTGCCAATGCAGAATGTTTTTATTGCATGAAGAAGTTAAAAGTTTTGACAACACTCAACTCTTTTGGTTTGAAATTGTGTTGTTTTCAAGTAGGTTGGATGTTAATACAGGGAAACTTTGTGTGTTCTTGCTGCAGAAATTGATCTTCATTGTATAATATTAAAGAAACGTTATAAAGACATTACATTTGCCTTAGATACTTTTGACTCTATATGAGTAGTTGTTTTCTAAGTAGCATCCGTGAGTTAAGGCTGTTTGAAATATGTAGAAGAAAGTTATCACTGTCATATTTCTGAATAGTTATGTTCATGGCTTATACATTTTTGAAAAATTTCATGTTGAATTGCGTCAACCCTCTCAATTTTCTCTATTAGAAGTGACGAGAAGCAGCAGCTGATGAGATTTCACTCTCTTATGAAATATATTCTCAAATCTGATAAGTATATTTTTTAATGCGGTGAAACTTGCAAGCCATGTACGTTTAAACAGAAGATTGGTACAGAATCATAGAATGAAGGAATTGTTAGGTTTCCCCTAGCCCCTCCCTACACACAGTCACACACGTCATTGTCAACTTTTGAAAATAAATGTCTCTTTCAGTGACTCAGAGTTAATACAATATGTTAGATGTTTGATTAAATTTGGCCCTGATACCTGGAATTGATGAGGTTGTCGCATACCTCAAGGGAACTATATTTTCATGATTTTATTTTCTGTTTTTCTATGACTTTCAATGTTCATGAATTGCTTTGATTTTACAGGGGCAGATCCAGGAATTTTGGAGAAGTGGGGGTGCACATAATGATAATAATTAGTGTTGATCTCACAATTGATGACTGGTTCATTACAGCTGAGCAATCATCGAAAATAATTGGTTAGCGTCATTTATCAAATTCTCCTGGTTATGTTTGTTAATGCACAAAAATATAGAAAAAAACATGTTCTTTCGTTTTTTTGCAAATTGCACAAAATGCATTTACAAATTTCACATCTTTAAAGGATGACTAGTATGTTAGGAACATAAATTTCCTGGAGTCTCTTAGATAAATTCAATCATGACAAGGAACAAGCTTGTAGTGCTTATGATATGTAACAGACACCTGTGAAGGTCCGGGTTAGAATATTGATCTTCAGTAACTCATGTTTGTCGTAAGAGGCGACTAACAGGATCGCATGGTCAGGCTCGCTGACTTGGTTGACACGTGTCATTGGTTCCCAATTGCGCGCAGATCGATGCTCATGCTGTTGATCACTGGATTGTCTGGTCCAGACTTATTTACAGACCGCCGCCATATAGCTGGAATATTGCTGAGTGCGACGTAAAGCTAAACTCACTCACTGTAACAGACAAAACCAACCTTGTGAAAAATGTTGTTAATGCAAACAAGTGTTCCAAAATTGTTTGTGTTCGATTATGACCAAACATGATCGATTGCTTGGTCATTTAGTCATTGCTTCCAATCTTCGATTATTTCAATTAATTCGACCACCACTAATAATAACAGCATTCTTGTACCACGCATATATCCATGTCTAAGCATGCTCAAAGCGCACAAGCAATCTGATTATTATTACTCCAGATAACCCAAGCTGCCTGAGGCGCAAGAAAGTTAATAGCCACTGGCTCATCCCACCGGGTACCCATTTTCTGCAGGGTAAACAGAGGCAATTTTGAACAAACTCACTTGGACCCTGGCCCCCAACCCCTGGATCCACCCCTGTATTACATTTTGTGGTTTTGATCATGTTCAACCATACAAATTGATGTGTGCTCATTTCTGTGTGCTTATTCCAGCTTATTGGCCTTTGACATACATATTAGAAGCATCAAACAAATATGGCCAACAAGTATCTGGTATAATGTAAGTGTACCCACTTTCCTTAGGAATAACTGATGAAGAATCTTGAATGTGGACTGATATCACCAGCTTCTGTCACCATGGTTACTTGGTTTTTTATGTCATGTATTCTTGAATTGCAGTGTATGTAATTTTGTTTTGACATTTTTTAAGAGATTTGAATTTTGTACTGCAACCAGAAACAGGTCCTTTTACTGGGTCTAACATATGACAGTGTTTGTATATTTTGTGATCTTCCAATTGGAAATTGTACATATTTATGGATAACTTTGTAAGGATTACCAGGAAATTGCAGTGCCAACATTGCAGAACGCTGCATGTATTAGACTTTGCTTTACTTAATGTTTGTGTCTCTTAAGACACACGTTGTATACAAGTTTGCTTGCTTAGGACATAATTTATACGATGAAAATGTTGAATTTTGGAGTTTTGCCAAGGGTATATTTTCATTTCACTCAATGATCATTGTGGGGTGTTTTTTGTTGTTTTTTAAGTTCCACATAATTATCTGAAATGATATAAAACTATTTTTAGCCAGATGTGACAGTATTGTATAGCAAGCATGTGTGCGTCTGTACAGAATCATTTTGATTGCTGTATAAGCTTATACAAGGCTTTGATGATCGGGGCGGTGGTTAAAGCTTTCGCTCGTCACGCCGAAGTCCCAGGTTCAATTCCCCACATGGGTACAATGTCTGAAGCCCATTTCTGGTGTCCCCTGCCGTGATCTGGCCGGAATATTTCTACAATATTTTACTCACTCCTAACAGTGATCATGGGTATTACTATTCAGTTTCCAACCCCGTACAGAAGATACATCAGTTAGAGAAAAGGGATACTTAGAACTTATGATCAAATAGAGATGATTCAGGCCCATTTCTGTTGTCAAACCAGCATTCATTTTGTCCTCTTGCAACTACAAAATGCAAGCAATTGTTATTTTGTCAGAAGGCTTGGCCATTATAAACTGTCTTGTGTGTGGAAAAAAGAAAGGTGAATGCTGGTTACTATTAATACATCCCCCAGTGATTTTAATACAACTAGCAATTATTCTCCTCTTGCTAGAACACTTGATATATGTTGCCAAATAAAATAGAGATGTCAACATTTACAAATTGTTTGTTTTTTTCATTGGATGTTTGTTACTTTAGTGCGATTCAAGTTTGTCCAAGTCATCAGACAAGTGATAACAATATGGCAGCCATATTGGACGAAGAACATGGCTGAATCCAATCCAAAAGAGCCAAAAGAGCTAAAGAGGCAGTTGGAAATAAAAAAATTAAACATGAGCTAATCCTTGAACCGCTCTGGATTTTTAAGAGATATAGATAAATACAGCAGAAACATATTTCAAAAACTTTGTGTTTTGACACAGGTAGGTTTTTGCTGAATGTTGCTCATTTTAGCTGTTTTGATACATGTACAATGTTTTCTTACCCCCTGAAAAAAGTTGGACAAAAGTGTAACCTGCAGATAAGACGACCCTCTACAAACTGCTTTTTCGGCCCTCAAAATTTGACTTAGCTGCGGTAATAGTAATATACGGTACTTGATCCGGCCAGAACCAGTCCAAGCCGGAAGGCACTTCATTGTGCCTCATCATTTGTTGTCAACAGAATGGGGCTTTCAGGTTATGATTCGTCCCCAGAAACATGGTCTTTGAGGAGACTTGATGGATCAGATCAGTGGATAAGATGAGGTTGAACAATCACTGGAATGTCTGGTCCAGATTCAATATTGACAGACCACTGTGATATAGCTAGGACACTGCTGAGTGCAGTGTTAAACAACACACACACACATGTAAGTACTGGGTAACCTGAACAGATTCATTTAAAGGTCTATGGTTATGTCGGGTTAAGATGGTGGTAGGTAATATTCTTGTCTCCCAGTCAGGACAAACAGCAAATAACCTTAGAACTGTTCATATAACTAAACCTTTCCGACGATTTTTGAAACCTCATTTATACCAACTTAAAAATCTAGAACTCCACCATATTACTCATGTGGTTTCCAAAATATTAACACAATACAAAATAAGGACATGATGATGGTGAACTAAAAAGGATTTATTTAGAAAGGGTTAAGTGAGGATCCTAAATGTTGATATGGCAGCACATGTAAACATTCATGTCGATCTTCACTGAGTGTCCATTTCTTCTATTTAGTGAGAGAGAAATAAATGAAATCACTATCTTAAATTGTGACAGATAATTATTGTGATATAATATATATTAAAATTATGCTAGTTGGCAATGAAGCTCTGATTAACCATGTGAATGAAAGCATTTTTAGAAATGTACACATAAAAAGAAAACAAAGAGATTTGAGATTGCAATGGTAATGTATACATTTCTCTACTTTGTTTTGTGTCCATTTGTGAGGTGAGGTGAAATTGGGTTTATCGTTGTGCTTGAGAATATTTCGCTCATATGACGACGTGCATGCGTGTGTATGTGCGGCTGCTTGTACTAGCTCAGACTTAAGCTGGTTTTATAGTGCTAGCTCATTGAGATACCATGCCGCAGTGAAGCATGAATACCCCACTTAGACACATTATACTGACTCCGAGCCGACCAGTCCTTGTTGTACCCATTAATGCCGAGCACCAGGCAGGGACCAACAAGTACCATATTTTAACGTCTTTTGGTATGACGCGATTGGGGATCGAACCCGCGACCTTCCGCTCTCCGGGCGGACGCTCTAACCACTACACCACGGAGGCGGTTCGTGTCCATTTGTGTATTGATTTGATCTTATATAAGAATACATGTAAGTCTTTGGGAGAAGATGTTCTAAGTTGTTATATCTTCTGCCAAGTACTTGTCATGAGAATAAAAAGAAATTCGGAAGGTTTATTTTATGTACTATTGAGGATGTGTTTGTACAACCCATACCTTGCTTTCTGCTAGTTTTAAAACTACAACAGATTTGTGCCAATGGGCCCATGAATGTAAGTCATTTTGTTCAATTGTTGTAAGGATTAAAACTATATAGCCATATTTGTAACACAGATTCACATAATGGTGTCATGCACTTTTGGTTTGGCCATGTCATTTTGGGAAAAGCAATTTGCTGTGCAGAATAGTCTCCCTTTGCTGTTAGAATCCATCTGTTAATCTGTTTTAATCAAACTGCTCAGTTCGTGATTATATATCTGTCAACATTACAATTGAACATAACCTGTTTCTTCTTGTGTCAAAGTTGAAAGTTCTAAAACCGTTGATATGTCAAGAGTAGATTGGTTACCACTACTCTCATTTCACCTTTTCAAATTGAAAGGTGTGACTTTTGTGAGCAAGGCTTGCCTGGGTGCCAAAGTTTTGCATGTGGCATGAATAGGCTACTACACTCATTTACTATGGAAATTGTGTTGTGTCAAATTCAGTATGTAAGAGATGTAATCACATGGTCAACATGTAATGGTAAAATGGGCAAGGAATGGGTTTTTGAAGCATTTTGGAAATTATTGTAAATTTGTTTGCCATCTTAATGAAGACATTATGATACCTTACCGTCACGTTGATGTTATTAAACCATTGGCAGCAAGCAAGTACATTATGCTTAAAGCTTGAAGTAAAAGCAAACCCAGGGAAATAAAACATATTTTTTTGGTAATACCTATTACCACATGACTACATATGAAATTTGATATAAATTCATGCAGAAAATAGTGAGCGTGTGTGTAGATTATATTTTCAAATGATAGCCATGTTTAATCAGATCACACTTTGGGGACATCACAGCTTGGATATTTCACTTAAAGTTTCAACTGCAAAATGCAGTAAAACCGTAAAAGAGTATTTGAATGTTAAGCGATAGCTGGATCTGATATACTCACGCTAATAAGCACCTTAGGGTATATCCTATTACATCCTATTTCAAATACAGTAAAGAATGGCTATAGCAAACTCAAAGGGACCACTAATTTTACTTTGCAAGAACCGTGGTTCATTATACACATTTCGACTTAAATATTACAAGTCTCCAGGACAAAAAGGGGCGGTGGGTTAGTCTAGTGGTTAAAGCGTTTGCTCGTCACGCCCAAGACCCGGGTTCGAATCCCCACATGGGTACAATGTGTGAAGCCCATTTCTGGTGTCCCCCACTGTGATGTAGCTGGAATATTGCTAAAAGCGATCCAAACTCAGTCAGTCAGTCCAGGACAAAAAAGAAAAGAAAAGGTTATATGTCAGTTCATTGCAAGTCTCCACATCCTAGGTATTGGAAATGTAAAGAATATAGGACACATTTTATGGATGCTGGTTAAAAACTGACAGGTAAGGTAATGAAATAAGCACACACAGCTTTCAGTCAGGGGATGAATAAAGACATAAAGAGATAAGACAAAGTCAGTTTTGGCAATTTTCATTTATTGTTTGATTCATTCCGATAGCACCTTTTGAGGGACACATTGACTCCAGACCTCTCATATAAACCTGCCTGGGTCCAGTACTTGCACATGCATCTTTATAACACAAATGCATTTTGTTCAGATTAAATCTTTTGGTAAACTTACTGTGTTGATCGGTGGTACAAAATAAAAAGTTCAATGCATCAATATAATCTAAATTCACATGATTGGCATGATATGTTATTTACGTTATATGCAAAAATCATATAGACCTGTTTCAGTATTTGCGTTACAACTTAGTAATGAGATATTAAATGATAATCAGTGCTGCTTCAACAACAAAATATTATTAAAAAAAATAATCAATAAATATAGTAGTTTTAAAGGGTTTTCATTTAATATGAACACAAAAACATACAAACTTCTTAATACAAAATCTGTTTTAAAAATAAATATTCAAGTAATTATAGCTCTAAAACTCATGCATTCAAGACAGCACTTTTCTAAACATGCACACACACTAAACTAGACACAAACTAACTCCCCTCTGCCTTCACGTAACCAAATATTCATTTGCATTACAATTACATTCACTAATCTAAACAAATTCTACTCAATACACTAAGCCAGCTTTGAGGAACAAACCAAATTTCAAGATCATGGGAAAAATATTTCAAACTTGATCGAAAGTAATTTTATGATTTTCTTTCAGTCAAAAGTTGCTGCATGATATCGTCACTATTTCATAGCGATTCATAAACACATGCTCATCGTATCGCATGGTGACAATCACTGGATTGTCTGGTCCAGATGCAATTTGTTTACAAACAACCTCGTATAGCTGTAATGCTGATGAAACAAATTATGCTCATGATATAGTCACAGTTGTACAATCGACTGCTTTTAGCAGAGATTTCTTATGGATGTGGAAAGGGTTTTGTCGCTTCTATTTACAAATCCTTTCACTAATGCTGCACTCAACTGTGTGTACAAAGTACAAATTATGTTGGAAAGCGCACATTAAATCTCCAAATCATCATGCACTCAACAGTCAGTGGTCTGCCTCATCAACAAGCACAGGTTGCTTAGTACCGAGTCCCTAAATCCTTGTACCCTATTGGTTATTTTCATTTTGTTCAACATGGACTCCAACTATGTGTGAAAAGACAACCATGACGACAGAACAATTATATGTAAGTGACTGATCATATATTTTAGGGGAAGGGGAGGTGCTGGTCATGTGAGATTAGAGGGGATCATGAAATAGTGACACTCCTTAGACCAATCTCACAGGCCCTGCTAAACCAGTTCACTTCACCACACACGTTCAGATCCAAGAAACAAACATGCTTTGCTTCAAAGTATCTTCATAAATACTGGATTAACACTACAAAACACATGTATACTTCATGAAATACACACCAATCAGCGAGTCAAACCACAATCAATTGTGATAAATACTTGCACATAAGTAGTTTGGGCTGGCCAAATCAAAATCAATATACAAAAGAGATCACTACCATGTCTCTAAAGAGAAAAAGGAATGCAAGGTGAAATTTAGCAAATATGCCTAATTTAAAGATATGCATTTTATTCACAAATCAATATCATATACATAAAAAACCCATCTACATTCAGATGTATCCCTTAGAAAGTTAGTTTTGGGAGAACAAACTTATGAGTTACTTGATCAACCGGCTGAGATGAAAATATTAGACAGGCAAATGGAAATTTGTTATTCAAAATAAGGTAGTTTGCTTGTACGCTGTCATTTCTGGTGTAAGTGCTGAGGTAAATGTGTCGCTAAAAGTTAAAAGGACTAACAAATTGAGTCTAATGGACTTGCTTCATTCTCTGCCAAGTAGATGACAAAGTAACAACAATAGAGAGATTATTCCATCGACAAGACTAGCTTCATGCTGTTATAAAGAGCATTGTCACGTTAATATAATTTCTGTAAAAATGTTCAATGTTTCTGATCCAAATGTGGGCAAAACAAACATCTGCAATAAATACTACATTCCAACAACTAATTACTACTGCTGAATACTAAAATACTGTGGATACAGTGCTGCTGCCTTGTGGTTCAAAAGACCCTCTGGTTACAATCTCACTGTGTGACTCCTAAATCAGAGGTAAACAGTCATTATCTAACACTTCTGTGAGTCTCTTACAATATTTACACTTAACACTTGGAAATGATGTACTGTGTCCTAATGGGCCCTTATCATAACTTGTCAGTTACCATAAGGCAATCCTTACAGGGAATGGTAAACCCTCTGATGAAGAATGTCTCTAATTGGGTTTCAGGGTCTTTGAATCAAAATGGCTGACCTGATTGAGGACTATCCAGACTATTACAGTGAATGAGTAGGTAAACAATACTTTGAATATTATTATGTTTTAGATGTTGAAGGAAAGCCTGAGTTGAAGTAGTTCTCAAGTGTAACACTTTACTGAAACCCACAAACACAAGTATGGTTCTGTGACTACAGAACACTCTTCCAATGAGACATTTTGCTGACAACCATACACTTCAGTTGTATACTACTACACTACTACTACTTCTACTTGACTAAATTTAACTGCTTCTTCAGTTGGCTATTGTGTACTTTTCATAACAGATGCACACACTATGTTAATTCACATACTATATTTCAACTGTACAGTAAAATGTAGATCTATATTATAAAACTATTACACCAATAATATAAAAAGTAGGTCTGTTGAAGATCTGAAAAATGGAACATGTTACCGTAGCTTATCTGTTACAGTAAAATGTAAATAGCTCCAAATTGAAATTGACCATGAGTTGTCCATGTCCCCAGACATATGTTTTCAGCTAACTGTTTCTCTGTAAACCTCATCTTGAAATCTCAGTAAACTTACACAGTGAAAATTCACAACCTTAAAAGACTTTTTTTCAAGCCAAAATGGCTCAAAGTTAATCTGTTCATCAATTTGAAATCAGACAGTCTCAAAGAAATGTGAATTCCACACATCTTGAATTTAATTTCAATCCTCAAAACATTTTCCTCATAAAATTAAAAACAATGAAAAGAGAATTGTTGATCAACATTGAAATTAATTTGCGAAAATATGTGTCGATAATATGTGACTTGACTCATTTGCATTTGTGCAATGCATATTGTAAGCTAGCTTCAAGTGTGATTCACAAAAAAAATAATTCTAGGGAGCAGTTAACATTATTTTTTGCCCTATCTTTTACACAAAATAAACACAAATGTATCCTAGAATTAGAAAACCATAAATTTCAGAAATAAAATCCCCACAACATATTACACCTGCAATTACTATTGTGTTGTGAATTCTTTCTGCAGCTAGTGAGAAAATATCTTGAACAGTGTAACTGTAAAACTCGCACCATGGCAATGGATTTCCCGGTGTAGCAGCATCAAGCAGAGCTTGCCTAGTCCTTGTGCTGTTTGGGTTTTGGGCCCTGAGTTCTGGGGACGGCGCCTGAGCGGAACAGAAGCTGCCAGTACCAGAGCAGACCCAGGACACAGAATGAGGTCACCACAAAGGCGTACTCAGCATGGTTGGGAAACTCAGTGCCACAAACTGTATACCAGTCTTTACCACTAGCGGGCTGTTTCTTCACGCAGTGGAAGTCGAAAACATCTTCATCATACTTGCTGAGGCACAAATACTTGTGCTTGGAGAGAGTCTGCAATAGAAGTCAATGTAGTTCAGGAAGTGAAATAGTTTTGTTGGCCATTAAAATATGTAACTGATTGTAATATTTTCTGTGTATTGTTTATATATTTAGCAAAACGGGTCTTGATTAGATTTACAACCTACCGTAATATAGGAGATATATTGCTAACTGGGGCATAAAACAACATTCACACACTATGGAGTGAGTGAGTGACTATGGTTTTATGTCTCTCGGCAATTTTTCGGCAATTTAACAACAGGGACCGAAGGAATAGGCATAGAACATTGTATCTATCTGGAGAAATGAACCCATGCTCTTCCCATGATGATCAAACACTTTAACCACTTGGCAACTCTATAGCGCTCTTATTGTAGATACAGTTGAATTTGAGTCGTTATCTGGGTTCCTTCTTATCACTGCTTCATGAGACCAAACATTCATAATCCATGTGAATCCCACTCAACAGTTACAACTCAAAATAGAACAAAATGCCTCACGTTCATCTAAAATGTGGATGAAAATCGATATTTCTTCATGAGGTAACATTAACAATGATATCAATAACATGGCCAGATAACAACAGATTGGCTATAGCTAGTTGCATCCTAGATCATTATACAACTTGATTACAAAATGAAAAAAAATCATGTGACAAATATTTATTCTTGTCTATTTCCTAAATACACCAAACACAGTTGAAAACAACTTGGAAGCACTGATAGTGAGAACAATGACACCAAAATGCAGACATTGTTTCAATAACCGATAGACATACTTACCATCCCAAATGGAGTCTGGACTGGCAATGTTGTGTTGCAGTTGCCAACTGGCTGGTGGAACCCAGTTGACTGGATTTTCTCCGGCATCGCTGTGAACACCAGGTAGATGTACAACCCATAGTGCAGCAGAACGCAGAGGAACACCTCACTGATAGCACCTCCTGGGAAAACAGGCACGAGGAGTGAATTTGCATGAATTAAGTGAGTGAGTTAAGTTCTATGCCGCACTCAGCAATATTCCAGCTATATGGCAGCGGTTGCATGAACTGATTTTGGGTGACGGAGTAACATGTTCAAAAGTAAGGTTGCAAGTGGATAAGATTGCAGGATGTGCAAGAGTTTTTAAGATAGATATTCTGGGTGGACATGGCCACTAGTCTGTTTTCCTGACACTTTATATCTAGGGCGATATTTACATAAACAGCTACTAGTCCAAAATCTGCATGAGGATTATGACAAGGATCCCCAAATTTTCAGCTTTGAAAACAGCATGGAGTGTCATCTTAATGTGATTTGGATCACAATGACACTGAATTTGGAATTTAATGCAACAGATCCTGACACAACAAAGGGATGTAACTTTGTACACCTTACACACACTCCAAATGGTGTTGATAAGACATTCTTAATTCTAACACCTAAGATACAGTTTATGTCATTATAACAGTCTAACTCTAAGTAAAACTTACGCTCAGTATTATTCATTACACTGCTATACTGAAGGTCGTGTCAACTAACCTTTGAGCTACCTATGACCCTCCAATCAAACGCGAGACAGCTGAATGGATTTAACCAATCAGACAATGGCTACTATTTAGGGTTTGGCGCTGCGGTTCCCTTTCAAAATCAACAATGACTAGTTTCATCTTTTCAATTCTTTCAGAATTCAGTTTGAGTTTGTGTGAAGTGTTTTTTATCTTCTCTTCCCCGGTCGCTGAGACTGATCTCAGAACAAACGAAAATCTGCAAAAACACAGATATTTGACTTGCAGTATATACGCTTAGGGGTTTCTGATGACATGGTTACTATTAGCTCATATTTCCGCAAGATGACATCATGGAATATTGACAAAAACGCTATTTTCAGCAACTGTTTACTCGTTGAATAATGTCGTCCTCCATATGTATCACTCAGAAGCGAACGTGCGGAAAATAGCATTCGGAGGTAAAAGTTCAAATAGTACATTGGAATGTTAACTTTCGCGATTTGGAAAGCTGTGTTCTGATTGGTCAATTCAAAAGATTAGCCAAGACAACCTTCTTCTAGGGTTTGTTAGACTCAGCATAGCAGTGTAAAGAATAATACTGAGTCTAAGTTTACTTAGATTGGTGAGTGAGTGAGTGAGATTGGTTTTACGCCGCTTTTAGCAATATTCCAGCAATATCACGGCAGGGGACACCAGAAATGGGCTTCACACATTGTACCCATGTGGGGAATTGAACTTGGGTCTGCGGCGTGACGAGCGGACGCTTTAAAAAGCAACAAGGCTACCCCACCGCCCCCTTAGACTGGTGAATATAACAGACTTAATGTTCACAGCTCTCACTTAACTATTTGTATTTTCTTTCTCAAAGTGGCACTGTCGTAACTACCAAAAAAACCCACCTACAAACTATGAAAGAATCTTTATCATTAAGGTTAGTTAAGTGATATAACTAAACAGGTAATATGCTGAGACATGAAGTATTTACTTGACTTCTGAGGTCCCCTGGCTCCCTCTAGTGGTGTTCTGTCTGCAATCCACACGAGGATGCTGTAAACTCCCAGCAGCATGAGAACACACACCTCTGTGTGGAGCTTGAAGGAGTCATGTAGTGGGTGGTAGATGGGCAGAAACTGTAGGACTCCCAGAGGCATGGCCAGAAGGCCAGTTGCCACAGCAACCATCAGCTCCAACAAGAACCTTATGCCAAAATACAAAATGATACCTTTTTATACAACAAAAGTTAAAAACCAAAGACAAAGAGACAGAGGGAGAAATCAAAACATTTGTCTGGCTCATGAAAAGCTCAGTAAGTCACATCTGGGTCACATTGAACACTGTGAAATGCTCCCACTAAAGAGAGGTAACACAACATACAACAAGAAGACAAAGTCATCAATATCCCCTGCAATGGCAAATACTCTTTATGAATATGTCTACTAGTTATGATTATGTCAAATGTTTTGGAGTGTATACATCAAAGTGGAAGGAGAGTATTGACAGGTTTTTAAGATCTGCTCCAGACAGGAGCTCTACCACCAAATTCAGTTGAAGCCCAACTTGTTGCCATGGAAATGCAACAAGATGACATCCTCATAGTCACAGCCTAAGTCACGTTTCCATGGAAACCACAAAATATAAAATTCATATCTGGGTGTAATCCCCAAAAAGCACATCAACACATCTAGTGATCATGATTGACAAGCTTGTACCAAATTTTGGAGATCTATCATGAACAGTTTGAGATTCATAGACAAAGTGAACAGCTTACGAACAAAGTTGACATGTGTACGGACAAAGTTTGTTAAGCTATATCCTTAACAGTTTAAGAACGGACAAAGTGTTCGTCAAAGAAGTTATCTATATCCCTTTGACCATATCTTACCAAACCAACATTTAAAAGTCATAAGTGAATTGAAATGAAATTTATGCCTATAATGAAAGTTTTTGTGAAGCCAAAGAATTGATAAAATAGTCCAAATATATGTAGAGAGAATAAGTTTCATAACACTCCAGAATACCTTAATATTCTTATTTGTGAACATGAGGACTATGATAAGGAGTGCAATGACAATACTCAACCAGAGCAAGTGAGTATAGTCTTTTGCTGCTTTTAGAAATATTCCAGAGATATAACTGCTGGAACACTAGAAATGGACCTCAGCAAATATCCCAAAGTGAGAAATCAAACCAAACCTTCTGTGTGGTGACTTTATCAGTGGAATGAGAAAAGTGAAGGTATTACCCAGCAGACTGGAACTTGTTTGCTCTCTGACACAAACAGTTGCGGAGTCCATGGAAAACCATAGTGAAGCCTGCAGCAAAAGTAGCGTGGAAGTAGTAGCTGGTCCAAGGCACGGAGTAGTGGCGGTCGTAGATGTTGGGGTCATCGTCATGCCACGTCCACCACAGCAGCTTGATGCCCATGATGTCGTAGGGAACGTCCAGGATAACAACACTCAGCCCCACTGTCAAGCAATAAGTCAATATATGTCAGGAGCCCTACTGTCAAGCTATACAAACAATACATGTGATGGGCCCCACTGTCAAGCAATAGGAGCAATAGATGTGATCAGTCCAACTGTTAAGCAATAAATCAACACATGTGATGAGCCCAAATGTCAAGCAATACAATCAATACATTTGATGGGAACCCAACTGTCAAGCAATACAAGCAATAAATGTGATGGAACCCAACTGTCAAGCAATACCATCATTATATGTGATGAACCCACTGTCAAGCAATATAATCAATAAACGTGATGAGCCCAACTGTCAAGCAATACAACATATCTGTAAATGGTTCAGCCCATTCTCTCAGTTTACTTAACACAACATCCCTGCAAAGGGTTCGGCCCATCCCCCCAGCTTCTTAATACCACATCCCTGCAAACGGTTCGGCCCATCCCTCAGCTTAATACCACATCCCTTAATACCACATCCCTGCAAATGGTTCGCCCATCCCTCAGCTTCTTAATACCACATCCCTGCAAATGGTTCGGCCCATCCCCTCAGCTTCTTAATACCACATCCCTGCAAATGGTTCGGCCCATCCCCCCAGCTTCTTAATACCACATCCCTGCAAATGGTTCGGCCCATCCCCCAGCTTCTTAATACCACATCCCTGCAAATGGTTCGGCCCATCCCCTCAGCTTCTTAATACCACATCCCTGCAAATGGTTCGGCCCATCCCCTCAGCTTCTTAATACCACATCCCTGCAAATGGTTCGGCCCATCCCCTCAGCTTCTTAATACAACATCCCTGCAAATGGTTCGGCCCATCCCCTCAGCTTCTTAATACAACATACCTGCAAATGGTTCGGCCCATCCCCTCAGCTTCTTAATACCACATCCCTGCAAATGGTTCGGCCCATCCCCTCAGCTTCTTAATACAACATACCTGCAAATGGTTCGCCCATCCCCAGCAGCTAATACCACATTAATACAACATCCCTGCTTCTTAATGGTTCGCCCATCCCCTCAGCTTCTTAATACAACATACCTGCAAATGATTCAAATGGCCCATCCCTCAGCTTCTTAATACCACATACCTGCAAATGGTTCGGCCCATCCCCTCAGCTTCTTAATACCACATCCCTGCAAATGGTTCGGCCCATCCCCTCAGCTTCTTAATACCACATCCCTGCAAATGGTTCGGCCCATCCCCTCAGCTTCTTAATACCACATCCCTGCAAATGGTTCGGCCCATCCCCTCAGCTTCTTAATACAACATACTCGCGAATGGTTCGGCCCATCCCCTCTGCTTCTTTATACAACATACCTGCAAATGGTTCAGCCCATCCCCTCAGCTTCATATGTCCGACAGCCACCGATGCCACATAGTAATACACAGGGTCTGTAACAGGCAGTGAAAACTGTGATCAGTCTGTAGGTTAACATTTGTGATTGATCGATTATCAAATGAAAAACAGCAACAGCAAAATTGTACCAAACATGTTGCATAGTGTTTGACACTATTTACCTGCACACTGCCTTTGTATAAATAACACAAAGGGTGCATTAAAACCTGCAATGTTTGTGTTCTGAGATTTCAATTTTCATATGATGTATTTTAATATAGGTAGGACTCAAGGCCATACTGAAAAACCTATAGAGAAACTGAATACCCAATGATTCAATGAACACATGTGAGTAAATATCTCATAATAGTCATATTATGTTAGAAGTACAATGGGTCTATGACAGGTTTGGGTGATTATCAGAAAATCAAGTGACTCCAACCAAGTGTAGTTGAACTTCATTTGTCCTGGACCCATAAATTAACCCATAAACTATGTCAACAAGTTTCCTGTTATGCGCCTTGGCATTCAAAATGGCCACACACATGTTAAGATGTGAGATTAAGAGTGCCACCAATGAACAGTTCGATGTGCAAAAATATGTTTTGAATCATTTCAGCTGGTCAAAATCGTTGTATTTTCCATTAAATGAATCATTTCAGACGTTCCGCCAGGGCACACTGTAAATACTTTATCTGTACCAAGCACTATTTCGATCCCTGTGAAAATTCACACATTTCTTTTCGCTACTGAAGTGAAAACATGACACACAGGTGAAAATCGCCCCATTCTTTATCCCTTAAGTTTTTACACTGCATTGTATCTAATAGTGGTGGTCCGATTAATTGAAATAATCGAAGATTGGTCGTTAGTGACTAAACGACCAAGCAATCGGTCATAATTTCTCATAATTGAACACAAACAATTCTGGAACACTTGTTTTCATAAACAAAATTTTAACATGGTTGGTTTTGTCTGTTACATTTCATAAGCACTACAAGCTCGTTTCAAGTCATGATTGAATTTATCTTAAAGATTCCAAGAAATTTATGTTCCTAACATACTAGTCATCCTTTAAAGATGTGAAACTTTGCCTAAAAACACCAGAAGAACTACATTTCCCCCCCTTATTTTAATGTGCATTAACAAATTTCATAAATGACGCTAACCAATTATTTTCGATGATTGATCGGTAGTAATGAATCAATCATCAATTATGAGATTTTAACCAATTCCCAACACTAGTATCTAATAACTCTGAGATGGTAGATGGTCCAAGTTGTTTGGTAAAACATTATTTCCATGAAAATTCAGCAGGAAATAAGAGTAAATATGTTTTTATGCTGTTTTAGCAATATTCCAGCAATTTCACCACAGCAGGGGACACCAGAAATGGGCTTCACACATTGTACGCATGTGGGGAATCGAACCCAGGTCTTCGGCATGATAAGGGAACACTTTAACCACTGGCAGTGATAAATCTACAATTTTTAGTGAGTGAGTCCTGGGACTCGCTCAGTTGAAAAGTAATGAGTCCTTTTGAAATTTTTGTGAGTCCCTCAAACTTTACATACATACATACTAACATTTGTATAGCGCTAATGTCCAGCTCAGAAAGAAAAATATCAGCTTGTAAAACATTATTGCTACTACATATCATACACCATTTGAAAGGTCTAATCCTAGCTACCTGTTTATAAATATGAAATTTATCTTTTATCATATTATTCAAATAATGCAACTACAACTTAAATAAGTTAATTTAAATGAAAATGCAAGCTTACACAATTATAATGTCCTGATAAACCACAAAGGAACAAAAAATGCGGCAATTTTTTTCTATTTGTAACATGTCATAATATCCCCTTACCTTTTTCTTTTCTTTTTTTCAATTTTACGTAATCGGAAAATTATTATAAAAAGATTTCTCAAATAATATGTATGGTCGTCTATTTCCCGTTATCAGTGCCTTTCCGCTCGGTAAAGTGATACAACAGTGGAAAATACCTCCGTTTTCGAAGCTTCGTATGAATAACATGTAAGGTGATTCGTTTGATGGCGGCTGTCGTTTGAAAGCTCGGAACATCAACAATATCACTGTACCCTTGCCAAGAGTATTTTCACAGTTGTAACAAGCGATTTTATTGGATAAAGATTGGTTTCTAATGACGCTTTTTCACCACAGTCTGCTATAAGAGTCATTGATTGATCGTAAATCATGCATGTGACCCTAAGGCAGCCAATCATATTAAAGCAATGGATACCGTCCTCGTGAAAACAAAAACTCATAGATTCAGACGGAAGTTTTGGGTAAAATCATGGTATTCTGAACGTGTTACGCAAAAAAATCACCACCTATACATATATTATGGAACTTAGAGGACGTATCGTGCTAGGTTATGACCTGTGACAAAAATGCTTTATGCATATATTTTAGCCATTAAACATCGTGTCCGAGCGCTAAGTCGAGGCGATGAAAGCCGAGATGTTTCTTGAATTACACTACACGATCGCTCAATAAAGATGGAAATAGTAAGTTATCATGTATGTTTGACAACTTTTATGACTAATACTGCTGTTGATTTTATTCTTCAGTTTATTCAATTTGTTTAATTATTTCCACGAAACATTGTTACTTTGCTGTTTGACAACTTTGATATGGACCCGCTGCGGAAGCATCTGTCCGAGAAAGCATGTATGATCAGTGAATATGTATGCATCCACAGGACACACATGTAAAATATTTGTGCATCCTTTCATATTTTCATGCGTATATTACGCAGGAAGCGCGGGTAGATTTATCCCTGCACTGGGCTATCCAACAGCCTCGCAGGAAATAAGAATATATTTTGCTGAATTCCAGAGTTTACTGTCTCATGAATGCCTCATGATGAATCCATTCACCCTTATTCCTACTGTCAAGTGACTACCCAATCAGGACCCCCCAAGTGTGGTGATCACGCTTCAACTTACACAACAAAAGAACTTGGAGCGGTAGTCGTTGTCCCAGTAGCATCACGGATGACTGTGCATGCCAGAAGTTGTCGATGTCAGGGACATAGTAGCTGACACACTCCACCGTCAAACCATGGAACACCGACGCCAGCCATAGCCACCGAAACCTGCCTCCATATCGCATAGCTGAAAGCAAGCAGTCAGCATTAAAGTGAACTGAGTCGTCATTTAATTCAGTAACTATTTTCGAGGGGAATTTTCTTAAAATGTCTGAATGTGAGTGAGTGAAGTTTTATGCCACTGTTAGCAATATTCAAGCAATACCATGATGGGGGACACCAGAAATGGGCTTCACACATTGTACCTATTTGGGGAATCAAACCCGGTCTTCGGCGTGACAAGAGAACGCTTTAACCACTTGGCTACCCAACCGCCCCCGTCTGAATATGTTGTAACCTATCCAATTTTGAATATTTTGTTGTTTAATAGATAGGAATAGTCAAATAAATGAAACATTACTACAAAATGACATTCATACCTTTTAACTATAGTCCGTTTGACATAATTTTAGACCGATAAATTGCTCACTAACACAAAACCTAATAATAGTCACATGAAATCGACAAACCAACTCTGATGATTTGTCTCATAATTTTGGACACCAGAATAAAAAAGTTGTTTAACAAACGATCATTATTTTGTTGTCACTTTTCGCTATTTCTCACGAGGGAGGACCACTTGCTGGTAGAACAGCCAGCTGAGAGTTGTATGTGTGTATGTGATTAATAAATCAAATGTGAATGTCAAAGTAATGATATTACTTGCATTGTTGATTATTTTACCAAACACTCAATAATTACTAAGTGTCTTGACCGAAGAAATGAAGTGCAGTTCTCACCATGAATGAATGTAAGGGAAGCCATGACATAGAAGGCAATCTCATAATACAGGACGCTCTCATGCTTCTTGAGAATTACGTCAGCTTTACGAAATTTAATCCACCAGTTCCACTCCTGAAAATATATATTTGAATTATCATTATTATTCACAACACACTTGTACAAAATGAAATCTTTAAACTTAATTGATTAGTATTATAGTAATAAATATTTTATTGATTGATACTTGGGCTCAGTGTGCAAAATAGCCACTGGCCTGCTAGCCCGTGGCTAGTAAAAATCCAGTCAGGCCAATAAATCTCCACAGTCACTGGCCCGACTGGCTTGTGAATTTTCCAGTCTAAGTAAACTTAGTCTCAGTATTATTCGTTACACTGCTTATACTGAGTCAGTAGAAGGTCATGGGGTGATTTTGTAAATATATCACTCTCTCCAATTTGTTAAGTTATAATACACTTTTAAATTATGCAAAATTATGGCCTGATAAACATGTTCATCATACTAGCAGTGTATTGATGAAACCTGTGTCTACATTCAACCGTGTAACTTTCAGCCATAGCTAGCCTGACTGGCTAGCAAATTTGGAAACTATTTCGCATACTGCTTGGGCTGGCTGAAAATAGGACCAACAGGAGAAAACCTTCTATACCATAGATCCAGGTACTTCAGCACTGTTGGCTGATGTGTGTGGACCTCGGATGGAGTTATGTTGAAATATATTTATCAGCTAAGTTGAGCTAACCCCTTCAATGCAGTCCAACAGAACATAGGCTCAAAGTTTCAACCAACCTGTCTTATGTGTGGAATGTAAAGTAAAGAAACAGGGAAATAATGTATTCATCAAGGCATATAAACCCAAATAAAAAACCCAACATCAGCTGAGTGTAAATCCATGTTGATGCCATGAAAATGACAAAAATACAAAAAATACAAATGATCTAAGAGCAAAAGACAGAGATGCCAACCGTGAATCTAAGGAAAACGGAGTCATGATGGGATGAAAGTCAGGCTTGAGCACCAAAGAAGTTGGGGGTGAGTGGTTGGCTCTGCCATTTTGTTTCACTTTCATACTGACTATGACATGCACTCGGAAAAACTTTGTGAAACGAAACTTCATCATCAATAACACGCAATATACACAATTGACACCCAAAGGATCACACGCTAAGCTTCTGAATGCTTTTACCAGTGTTCCCTCAAATAAATCACCTGTGACTTACGAAATTGTATACCGTAAAATAAAATCAGAAAAATTCTAAAAAATCAGATTTTTTTTAAAGAGAAATCGGAGAGCAGATTTTGCATTTGAAAATCGGAGTAACTAAGCCAAAATCGGATTGGTTGGCATCTCTGAAAAGACACCATTTCAACCTTGATTAAAGAGTGCAGCACACTAAAACACTAAAAATGGGAGTCTGTAGTTACAATATAGGCACTATTCCAGCGCTGTACCCCTGGAGGAGCTTCCACTCTTACAAGTTATACAACTGAGATAGCCCACTCTCCATTCCAGAAAATGTATGGCAGGTAAACAGCAGGTGAAAGCCAGGTGTGATCAGACACGCCTACAAAATGGAGAACCCTGAAAATAAACAGGATCTGCAGAATCATCACCATGTTCCTTGCAGACAGAATACAAAAACATTGAGTTTTTGGACAATCATATTTTCTTGTGGTTAAATATACATCACATTGTCTATTTTTATTTAAAAAACCCCATTAATTCAGCTAAAAACAGCTAACAGCTCATGATAAGTGCTATGGCCTTATCATAGGATTATATTATATTATATGGTCTCTGATAAGTGCTATGGCCTTATCATGCTGCCCTCTACGGCCTTGTCATGCCCTCTATGGCCTTTTCATGCCCTCTACATACTAAAAGTGCTTCCCAAGACAAAGACTAACAGAATACTGGTTATGGGTTATTACTGTCATGTATCTAACACTAACACTTAGTCTCTGAATATATATAATTTTGATAGAAACAAACAATTCATTTTAAATTAAAAAGGACCCCAGTGAGACAGGAGATTCAGAACCTGAAGAAATCTAGACTTGCTTTATTTAGGGCTTTAGTATTGCAGAGTGGGCTGAGTGGAAATGTAAATAATGTAGTTCAAGGACTGAGAGACAGACAAGGCCAAACTAGACGACATCTGTGTCACCCTGGTCATTATCACCTGTGGTGTTCTGCCAACTCATCAGCAACCACAAAGGTCACCTGGACTGCACTCTAGTGACTGATTACACGATTACTGACCTCATGCACACACACACCGAAGCTTATGATCTGCCAGTATTTGATAACCACTCTGTCATGAATATACAGCCTATCATGTGATCAACATTTGTAATAATATTGTAAATAGGTATGAAGTAGGATATTCTATTTGACAATCAGTTAAACAAAACGAATAGCTTAATGTGCTTTATTTTGACCCTGAGTTTGTCATTACAATCAGATCAAGCGGAAAATATTTTTCTTTTCCAACCTTGCTGTACTTGATGAAATAAGCACCTTTGGAGCTTAAAAAATTGAAAAAGCAGGCACTGAAACAATACACAATGAGTATAAATTCCATGTCAAAGTATGAATGTGAGAAAACAAACTTAGTACAGTCATGGCTGAAACTAAAACTCGAAAGCAGTACACAGTAAATGCCACCATGAATTGTATTTTCCTGTTATGGTAAGCAGTTAATAAACACAGTAATCAATATTGTCCTTTGTGATTTCTCACATGAAAACCTGGAAATAGATATCACACTGATATATTATTACTTTTGTTCTCTCGACTAAATACATAATGTCAGAACTTTAGGGCAAAGATGGAAGGAAATTAGTCTGCGACGACATGTTACAGTCAAATACAAACATGACAGTTAGCTGACTTTTGCACCAAATACAAACATGACAGTTCATAAAAGGACATACATCATTTCATACATTACTGGGGCAGTGCGGTAGCCTAATGCTTAAAGCGTTCGCTCGTCACACCGAAGACCAGGGTTCGATTCCCCAAATGGGTACAATGTGTGAAGCCCATTTCTGGTGTTCCCCTGCCGTGATATTGATGGAATATTGCTAAAAGTGGTGTAAAACCCAACTCACTCACTCATATACATGACTGTCTAATGAACTGTGGGGATTATTACTAGGCAGATTGGTAGGTCAGGTGTGCTTACTGGAACAGCAAAATGGAATGAATAGATGAACCAGTCATTATATACTGTAATGATTCAACAGTTTCAATCTCAGGCCTACATATACTTTTGACTGATAACAAATCCTGGCCTACATTTACTTGTAACTGATTTGAATCTATGGCCTCCATTTTGTCTCAACTGATCACAAACATGTAACCCACATTTAACCTCAATTAATTACTACATTTGCTCTCATTAGTCTCAACTGATAACAAACATTTCATCTACATTTGACCTAAAAACCATGGTCTACATTTACCCTTGACTGGTTTCAAACCTTAATCACAAGCACGAGGAATTATGTCATAGAACAAATAACATATGTCATAAAAAGTCTAGGAATGCATCTCATCTCGCTTTTCCAGATTCAAAGAAAAATAATTTTTCAAAATCTTCTTGATGGAAGGAAAGTTAATGAAATTGCAATTGTACGAAACATAGGAATGGATCCAGTGGTTAGTGTTGGTTTACTGAAATGCTATTCCTGGAGATACTGAAGATGCAAGTAAATAAAGAACACATTGAACTTTTTATATGATGTAACATTTTATTATCACCACATTGTCATTCCCTCATGCAGCCATATGGCATCGGACACAATCTGGCCTGTAAGTGACTCATTATCAAACTTTGGCCTTTTGATTAGTGGAACTTATCAATAAGGGATCTGAATATTTATTGACTTCCTGGTTCATTCATGTCATAATCAATGGATTAATTATTAGTCAACAGTCATTATAGTTAGTGCTGGAGCGATTAATCGTAGGATCGGTTAATCGTTTGATCTAAGTCAAAATGAACGATTGTTGATTACAAATAAACTGCAGATCGATTATCTGAAATAATCATTATTTGGATGCACATACAGTCAAGCACCATTATGTCAAACTCTGATAACTCGATATCTCGATATAACATCTCGGTCCCGGCAAAATCCTTCATGATTTATCATTATTCAAGCTCTTTTAACTTGATACAGATGTCTTGATATTTCGGATATCTCGATATAATCTCATGGTCCCAACAAGCAAAATTACCCTTTTAACTCGATATTTGCAAAGAAACTCGATATTCACCTACCTTTCATGGGCAGGTATCCCTCTGAACTGAGGTTGTTTCCACACGTCTACACACGGTCCGGCATGAATCAAAGGGATGTGTAGTGTAAACTAATTAGGGCTAATTGAGTTGAAGGTGTCACTTGTCCGTTATTTAATTAGGATTAACTAAGAAGGAATTAATTAGGAAGTACTCACTGTTATGACTAAACACTACTGATAACGGATAATAGTTTCAAATCAAAACATACTGAGAATATTGAAATGTGATAATATGCCCTGGTCAGATGTCTGGAAGTTCGGTTAACTCGACATTTTTTCTTGGTCCCATGAATATCGTGACAACGGTGCTCGACTGTACATTAAAACGTTTTATTCTACCTTGTCGTGTTATTCTTTACTGAACAATCTGGTCGTCATTGCTTGTTTACTTCTTAAACGGAAGCTGTGTACTACACAAGTGCGCATGTCAGCCAATGGCAATGCTAGATATATTTAGATAGGGGTGTCCCTTTCCCAAAAAGGTCACATTGTCATTGAAATACTACGAGTTGACAGGTGCTAAAAACAACCAGGATGTTAGTTTGCTAACGTAGGTATTTGACTATGAAATGACTGTCCAAACGATTATAATCGATCGATTATCGATCTGACACTAGCGATTATCGATCTGACAAAATGTAACGATAACCAGCTCTCATTATAGTAACTCTGAAAAACTGTAACCCATTATGCAAGTGCCAACATTTGAAAAATAGCATAATCATCGGGTTTAAATTAGCACAAATCCAAAATATAATTCAGAATTGACTTGTGACATAACTACCACTTTTACCTTTAACAAAGAGACAACTCTATAGCAGATCATTTTTGTGATGTAACGAAAAAGAACATTCCCTTTCGGCCTACATTTAGAATTCAGGATCACAAACTTTACAAATTACATCACAATACCTTATGACATAATTTATGAAATGTTGTTTCCAAAAACTATGCTCTTTAATGTCAAGACTGCTGTTGGGTTATCGATTGTGCCTAAGCTCCTCTGTGTTCTGTCGTCTCTATACATATTGCATCGAGTAAACCAAGAGTTGTAGGAGTGTATGCTAAACATAGACAGCGGAGGCGCATTTTATAGCAAGCGCCAGTTTATGAAAGCATTTTTATTTTTAATATATCTTATATTTCGCTTTCAACGTAATATTTAGGACTAAATGAATTATAAATGGGAACTAATATACAGAAATATTTTTTTCATTCAGTAATTTATATCATTACACAAGAATGGAGTTTATTTATTATATTGTATTTTTCGAAGCGGTAAGAATGCATTACACTTGACATTACACTCAGCCATTTTTGTGCCTCTTCGGTCAATGTATTCTATTTATTGGGAACATTTCGAGGGGTTAGGGTTTAGGGTAAGGGACCTAATCCAATAAAGTAGGTAGATGTCCAGTGTAATGCATGTTTACCATTTGTTGTTTTTCCTTTCACATTTTTTATACCTTTTTCACACAACAAAGTCGAAAGTACACATTGAAATGGTTTAATGTAGATAATTTGGGGTAATGGAAATTGGCCTGGAACTTGCGTAAATCCACTTTCACACAGTACATTTGTTCAGTAATGATTCGAAGACTAACTAACCCTCTTGCCATCACAAGACATGCTCATGTCTCCGTCATTCCTTAGTGCAATCCACGTTATCCTTACAATGTTCCCTACAACACGTTTCTGTCACAAAATCACCTGATGATTTTTTAGAATCATGTCATTCATGCATCATGCATACGCCCGATGCCTGATGACATCTGTTTTCTGATGCCTGGCTCGCTCCAAACCACACAGTATCTTGTAGATTTCAGCATCGGAGCCATTTGGCAATTGTCCGTAGATTATGATCACGAGACACCAAGTCTACCTATAAGCTTTGTAGTTGTCCGTGACCTATTTGATGCTTTCCGTTCATTTTCATCTCATGAATGACTTGATAAATTTTCACTTTGTATAACAGTGTGGACTTAGCTCCATTGGTTTGCTGTCCATCTGTCCTACAGATTTCTCACAAAACTGTTGTCATGTTAGTGACACGTGACCTACGACAGAGACTGTCCTCATGAGATTTTGTGGTGCTGAATTCTAAAGGTGCTCAGTATACCCTGAATACATTATCAGATGCTATGATAATACTCTTGATTTTGACTAGTCCAGGTGAGGTGAGGTGAAATTGGGTTTAACATTGTGCTTGAGAATATTTCGCTCATATGACGTGCATGCGTGTGTATTTGTATGTGCGGCTGCTTGTACTAGCCCAGACTGAAGCTGGTTTTATAGTGCTAGCTCACTGAGATACCAGGCCGCAGTGAAGCATGAATACCCCACTCAGACACAGTATACTGACTCCGAGCCGACCAGTCCTTGTTGTACCCATTAATGCCGAGCGCCAGGCAGGGACCAACAAGTACCATATTTTAACGTCTTTTGGTATGACGCGGTCGGGGATCGAACCCGCGACCTTCCACTCTCCGGGCAGACGCTCTAACCACTACACCATGGATGCGGTCGACTAGTCCAGCATACAACTAGACGACTTAGAACTATCCCAAGGTGTGCGATGTAGGCCTTGGCTAGAATATGAGTTTATTTATATGAACTAGATTTTGACTTAATTGTGACATACGTCCTTGAGCTTCATCAGTGGCGGATCCAGAGGGGGGGTTCAGCACGCGTACACACACACACCGAAAATGGCTAAAGACCACATTGAAGTTAATGTTTCACAATGGCAGAGCCATGGTGGGGTTCAGGGGGTTTGACACCACCACCCACGGAAATTTCTGGATCTGCCTATGTTCATTATGACCGATATATATTCTTGAGATACAGAAAAAAATGCACCTCTTTCTAAAGATCTATTGTTTAACCATTTGGAGATTGTTGCAATAATCCTACTCTTGTTTGTCTTTCATTTCTCCATCATCACTGTGAGGAATGATGAATGATTAACATACACGAGTATCACAACAAATGCCTGTCAAAGTATAGTAAGCTTAGATTACCTGTCTATTTGGCTTATTAGTGTACTTTACAGATACAGGCATATATAAAGCATATATACTGTTCAAGGAACATATCCCAAAAGGTTTTGTCAGATTGCAAGTTTTATTGCTAGAATAAACATAACTCACTTACTCAGAAAAAAACCAACGGGATGTCACGGGATGTCACAATGCATGTCACGTATGAACATACATTATTTGGAAGATGGTGTATCATTGTATGAATACAATGTGATCAACAAAATAAGATTTCCTCAATTCCTTTTCAGGTAACATTTGTTTTGTCAGCACAGTGATCATGAGTGATGTCATCCTAACTGCAATTTATGCTTCACATCTTGCATGACCAACTTACTTCTTTAGTCTTTGGTAAATAATCATTGACGGTTTTCCACACAGCATCCATTATGTTGCCACTTTCTGTCGTCTGCGCGCCTATCACAACGTGCTTTACCTTTGACCTTTAGTGGAATATCACCGCTACATTCTAAGCTGGGCCCCGTCTCGCATATCGCAATATAGACGCAAGTTGGCGCGCGCAAAGGGAGCCGGGAACCAGCTTACTTTACATTCCGGCGCAGTCTCCTACCCAGAGTTCCATCGACCTTGATTCCGGCGCAATCCCTTTGCGCGCGCCAACTTGCGATATGCGAGACGGGGCCTAGCTCATTCGTCACCACTCGCCCCTTTCCGTAACCTACTCGGCTTGTCCCGGAATAACACGAGTCGGTCACGAATGTTGGCATGTGACAGCACTTTTCTCTTGTTTGTAAACAAACACGCACATTTGTTATCAGAACTGACTGGCCTAATGCAATCTTTTCGGTGCGCACATCACATTGTTTTACATTGTTATACAGATATTCATGGACAACTGCAATTATCAGTTTATGACAATTTGTATACTTCGAAGTGACTCCATCGCTTGCTCTCGTTGACAGCACGTGGAACCACGCAACCTTTGTAAACAAAAGTTCGCTGCGCAAATCGAAATAGTGTTACACGTTTTTTTATATTTAAAATATGTGTAAACCATTCTATCAAAGAAGTTTAATTAGATGTGTAGACTCGTCAAAAATACAATTATTGAGAAATATATAAAATACTGTATATTGAATCAGGGATAATCTATTCTATTCTTCCTGATTGAATGGACTGTGCAAGATGTGACGAATCGGCACATTCCTCTGAGTATCACGCTGGTCGCATCGAACGCTGGGTAGGAGGGTGTATCAACCAATTTCCCGCTCGTGTTATTCCGGGACTTGTAATCCGAATTCTTGGACATTCGACAATGATAACCGTTGTGTAAACAAACTGCATTTGAATCTCTCACCGTTCATGACACTACTAGTCACTACCTTTATCAAAAACTTCGAATTATGGAAAACACAATTTTGTTAGCTATGTTTTTGTGTTTTCAATATGATGATTTTTTAAACAATCACATAAAGCCCCAAACGATTAAGTACTTGGGGTTATATTTATCAAAGTACGCGCAATCATTACGCGCGTTCTGATTGGTTTGTCGTATTTTATCGCATAACATCACTAGAAACTACATGACAGATTATTTCTCACTATTTCCGTGTTTATATCATAGTTTTTGTTTTGTAAAGTCCTGTTCTGCATTCCTAGTTTCTTTTACCCTAGTAAGCCTACATGATTCCGCATTCCAACACCCGTGAAGATCCGGGGTAGAAGTGATCTTCAGTAACCCATGCTTGTCGTAAGAGGCGACTAACGGGATCGGGTGGTCAGGCTCGCTGACTTGGTTGACACATGTCATCGTATCCCAATTGGGTAGATCGATGTTCATGCTGTCATATACCCGTGTTTTTATCAACAGAAATGGCAAATCGATCTCAGAATAGTCCCAGGTATCATCCGAAGAGTTTCCTGTATGGACTGTGTAAATAGCTTTCCTTCTTCCGTGCATCTTTCCACCCAGTCCAAAGACTCCTTGACTGTACTGTCTTCTAAGACTTATCAAAGGTACATATTCTCTTCAAAATTCCTTTCATTACTTTCCTTTGATCATGTTGATATTACACTACCAAAACTGCTTCATGATGTTCACTGGCTGACTGAAAGTATGAACGAAATGTTTCTCAGTAGCTGGGTATTTTAAGATACATGTAAATGTCCAACATTCAAAGTCTTTTCAAGTTTCTCTCCACCTTTGAACTATGATGGTGTGTTTTATTTTGAGTGATTGTTGACCAGATGCCTTGTCCATTAGACAACATTTTATTTTCCTTTTCCCATCTCATGACAAAATGAACTGTTCAGTTTTATACAGAGAGAATAGGTTGATACAGTAAATAAAATGAAGACATTTATAGATTCTGGGCTTGACGTTTTCCATTTCATCGCAAGCGTGCTCGATCTTGAGAAACAAGCTGGCCATGGGAGTACCGGAATGTTTTGGTGTCTCAGGAAATCTGTCACAACACAAGCGGGCATTACCTTGCTAAAGCGTGAAGTTACGTCTCTGTTCTTGAATGAACGGCTGCACATGAGGCCCAATGATCTCATCCCTGTGTCGCAAACCTGTCGGTCTGCCATTGACAATGACAAGTTGTGTCCGACCATGAGATGTGATGGCTCCCCATACTATAACACTGTCGTCACCAAACTGTCGACGTTGAACAAAGCAAGCATCAGCATACCGTTAACCTCGCCGTCTGTAGACCCTTGCCCTGCCATCTGAGCTGTCAGTGAACAAAACACCATTCCAATCTTGTCTCCTGTACTGCTCAGCTCGTGATTATATACCTGTCAACATTAGAATAAAACATAACCTGTTTTATTGTGTGTGTCAAGGTTAAAAGTTATGTACTGTTATTAATCAGATATTATCATTACTCAGATAATGATCATGATAATGATGAATACAACATTTAGCGATTAAACGGTTTCTTAACATTAGTACAAGAGCTCCGAATGTTTTAGCTATGGGCGAATGTGGCAGATTCCCAGTTTATTTGTCTTCTTTGTTGAGATGTGTTAACTTTTGGCTTAGAGTTACTCGTATGCCTAATCATAGATATCCACGTAAAGCATATGAAATGCTGTAGAGAGAGAGAGAGTACTTTGATGCGACAGAATGGGAATCTTGCATTTCAAATACCCGTATGTCGTTTTCCTTACACTGGGTTATGTGTATGAGACATAAGATGAATTTTGATTTCACACGGTCGCCAGCAATAAATTTATTTTCGAAAAAAGGTGGTTCTTATTTCTCTTTTCGGGATTGAAGTGTTAAGTTGTAGCATACTTTGACGTCGGTGCCTTTGATCCCAAGTGTGGTGTAACCTATAGTTACACCACGCTTTTGCAAGCCCCTCCCCTTTCTGCTCAGTCATTAGCTGACATAGGTCACGCCCACAAAAGGCAATGAATGACTCGCACATTGTTTTACATTTTATTTCACTGTCCTCTGTCAGTGGTTCGGCCTGTTTGACAACTGTTCCGATATACCTTGAGTAGTATAATTTTCGTCATTTGTGCACTTAACACTCGACGAAATGGCAAACAGTCATCTCGTTTCACATTCAAGAAATCTATAAAGTTTCCTTGTTCTCTAATGCTTCTGAGTAGTCCCGTCATTATCAAGTATAAAGTTTTGGCTGGGTAAAGAGTACCATCCACTCTACGTGCCTCCATTACGAACTTCTGACTTAATGTAATGTCGTCAATATCAGTATCCCAACAATCAGTCAGGTTCGAACTCGCCATTTTCGTTATTTACTGTTTTATCGCCAGGACAAACTGAAAAGTGGCGGGAAATTCAAAATTTACCTCACATCCAGTTTGCGACGTCAAAGTACACTGTATGCTACAAGTGAGTTACATCACTGCACACTCGTGATTGGCTCAGTTACCTCACAGTTTTGTGTGGCTTTGATTGACAGGAGAATTTGACAACTCGGGGCTCTGCCCCTCGTGTCAATTCTCCTGTCAATCAAAGCCACACAAAACTGTGAGGTAACTGAGCCAATCACGAGTGTGCAGTGATGTAACTACTACTGACTACCACAAGAAGCAACCGTTTGTTGATCTAAAAATATATGTTTGTATTTTGCTATTGGCAATGTTGATAAGTTACAAATGTGACAGAGTTAATTCCCTTAGTTCAAGGATACCTGATCTTTCAGCCCCTCACAAATGCCAATAGGCTTCCCTACAATTGTGCAACAGAAGTAGAAACTGGATGAATTACGAGTATTAGAATACAAGGATATGCAAGTTTTAAACAGATCAGTTATTTGCAACTTGTCATGTTTGGTCTTTTGTATCTTAAAATTCCTGAAAAGATGTTATTTAATGTTTTCAAACACTGAAAGGTGTGAGGTCATGGTGCCCAGATGCCAGTTCGTTACAAGAAGTTTTGCATGGTAAACAACATGTTGTAATGGTAAAATGGGCAAGGAATTGAAAGCAGTATTGTTCATGTTGTTTTATACATGCCTGGCTTTTTGAAGCATTTTGGAAATTGTTTTATTGTAAATTTGTTTGCCATCTTATTGAAGACATTATGATACCTTACCGTCACGTTGATGTTATTAAACCACTGGCAGCAAGCAAAGTACATTATGCTTAAAGCTTGAAGTTAAGGCAAACCCAGAGAAATAAAACATAATTTTATTATTTTCTGTTATACCATATGATTACATATGAAATTTTATATGAATTCATCAGGGGTGGAAATAACCCATTGCCCGACGCCCGAGTCCAGTGTGTTTTTCTGTCGGGCAAGCAAATTTGTATATCACACTGTACCGGTGTCCAGTTGACTTTCCAATATTAATTATGTTGTTTATTTAAAAAATCAACAAGAAAACGGCCGGTATAGTGGAAAAAATTATCAGTGCAAGTGATTTTACATGTGCCACTGTACCGGAGTACACTAGCAATTTTAAAGTTATTTCCACCCCTGTTCATGCAGAAAATAGTGAGCATGTGGGCAGATTATATTTTCAAAATGATAGCTATTTTAAATCAGATCACACTTCAAAATTCAGGAAAACCGTAAAAGAGTGTTTGAATATCAAGCCTTTGCTGGATCTAATATACCCACGTAAATCGGCACCTAGGTCCTATTTCAAACACATTAAAGGAAGGCTATAGCAAACCCAAAGGGGCCACTAATTTTACTTTGCAAGAACCGTGGTTCGTTATACACATTTCGACTTAAATATTACAGCAAGTCTCCGCTTGCGTCCGAGTGCTTTAACGTTATAATAGTTCACGGCAAAACTTTTATTTACACTATACATGGGGGTAAACCGAACTGTATTTCCTTTCTAAGATGCCAAAGTTACAAGGCGATGACAACTGACATGCACCGTGACGTCGTTTACGAAGGGTACGTTTGATAATGAGGGGGCAGACGAGAATGGCGTGCTGACGTCAAATACAGTGTGACGTCATGCAAAATGTGAACTTTATCGCCTGATAAAGTACTGTCGGCGCCTTTGATCTTTTTGCGAAGCATCTTTGAACGATATGTAACGACAAATGCACACACAGCTTTCAGTCAGTTGATCAATAAAGAGACAAAGTCAGTTTTGGCAATTTTCATTTATTGTTTGATTCATTCCGATAGCACCTTTTGTGGGAGACATTGACTCCAGACTCCAGACCTCTCACATGAACCTGCCTTGGTCTAGCACTTGCACATGCAACTTTATAACACAAATGTATTTTGTTCAGATTAAATCTTTTTGTAAACTTACTGTGTTGATCGGTGGTACAAAATAAAAAGGGCAATGCATCAATATAATCTAAATTCACAACATGTACTATGGCATAATATGTTATACGAAAAAATCATATAAGACCTGTTTCAGTATTGGCGTCACAACTTAGTAATGAGATATTAAATGATAATCAGAGCTGCTTCAACAACAAAATAATTTTAAAAATATTTTGATCTTATGAGAAAAATGAATTTCTTATTTTGACAATAAAAATTCAATAAACATAGTAGTTTAAAAGGGGTTTCATTTAATATGAACAGAAAAACATACAAACCTTTAAATACAAAAACTGGTTTAAAAATAAATATTCAAGTAATTATAGCTCTAAAACTCATGCATTCAACACAGCACACTCAACTAGATACAAACTAACTCCCCTCTGCCTTCACATAACCAAATATTCATTTGCACTACAATTACATTCACTAATCTAAACAAATTCCACTCAATAGCCCTAAGCCAGCTTTGAGGAACAGACCCAATTTCAAGATCATGGGAAAAATCATTTCAAATTTGATAAAAAATAATTTTATAATTTTTTTCAGTCAAAATTTGCTGCATGATATCATCACTATTTTATAGTGATTCATAAACACATGCTCTGTCATTGTATAGCATGGTGACAATCACTGGATTGTCTGGTCCAGATGCGATTTGTTTACAAACAACCTCATATAGCTGTAATGCTGATGAAACAAATATCTGCTCATGATATAGTCACAGTTGTACAATTGACTCCTCATGAATGTGGAAAGGGTTTTGTAGCTTCTATTTACAAATTCTTTCACTAATGCTGCATTCAACTGTGTGTGCAAAATATGCATCATGTCGGAAAGTACTCATTAAATCTCCAAATCATCATCATCATGCACTCAACAGTCAATGGTCTCCCCACTGACCCATAGTTGTCAAGCACAGGTTGCTGAGTACCTATATTTTTACCTGGGATGAAACAGGTGAGACATGTACCTTTAATTAATTCACAGACAATCCCTAATTCCTTGTACCCTGCTGGTTATTTTCTTTTTTGTTCAACATGGATTCAAACTTTGTGTGAAAAGACAACCATGTGTGAAAAGACAACCATTATGACAGAACAATTATCTGTAAGTGACTTGGTCTGTGTATTGGCAAATGAATTGTATTGCAATATATTGTGATTCAGGTACCCGTATTGCAATATATTGGGAACTTAGGTGTTTGACAATAGGTGACACTAATTGTACATGTCGATCTAATTTTCTACATTATAAGACCCTAAAAATATATGTTATGGTTCTGATAACAGTAATCTCGAACTGAGGTGGCATAGTCAGGGATTCTGTTGTGAATGAAAGTCTGTGTAGATTTTAATTTAAACCGAGAGATAATCATACAAACTTCATACATGTTCTTTACACAATGCACCGGTTCTCAGAAGAAATATTACGTATATATATACGTATCGTTTGAAAGCATATTGCGGTATACCGGTATTTATATTATTTAATACCGTGCAGTCCTATAAGTGACTAATCACATAATTCAAGGTAAGGGGAGGTGGTGGTCATGTGAGATTAGGGGGATCATGAAACAGTGACACTCCTTAGACCAATCTCACAGGCCTAGACTAACAACTAGTCTCTGAAATGAACATATTTTACTGAAAAAAGTTCATAGTAAAAAAAAAAAAATATAATGAAAAGCAGCCCTGAGACTTTCTTCAAGGTGAGGAAATCTAGACTTGCCACATTTTCTAGACTTGTGTGGGCTTTCTTGGATATATTTGCTTCAGGGTCTGTACGACAGACTATCACAGGCCCTGCTAAACCAGTACACTTCACCACACATGTTCAGATCCTAGAAACAAATACGGACATGCTTTGCTGCAAAGTATCTTCATAAAAACTGGATTAACACTGCAAAACACATGTATATTTCATGAAATACACACCAATTAGCGATAAATACTTGCACATAAGTAGTTTGGACTGGCCAAATCAAAATCAATATACAAAAGAGATCACTACCATGTCTCTAAAGAGAAATAGGAATGCAAGACGAAAATATAGCAAATATGCCGAATTAAAAGATATGCACTTTATTCACAAATAAGACTGACTGACTGAGTTTGGTTTTACACCGCTTTTAGCAATATTCCCGCAACATCACGGCGGGGGACACCAGAAATGGGCTTCACACATTGTATCACAAATAAGAACATCATATATATATATATAAGATAATCTGCATTCAGATGTATCCCTTAAATTGTTGCTTTCTGGAAAACTCACACAGCAGAGCACACACTTAGGAGTTACTTGATCAACTGGCTGTGATGAAAATATCAGACAGGCAAGTGGAAATTTCTTATTCAAAATAAAGTAGTTTGCCTGTATAGTATGCAGTCATATCTTGAGTAAGTGCTGAGGAAAATGTGTTGCAAAAAAGTTGAAAGGACCAATAAATTGAATCTAATGGACCTGCTTCATTCTCTGTCACCAACAAAATATTCTGCCATGTAGATGACAAAGTAACAACAATAGAGAGATTATTACATGTTGTAGGATTATCACATGTTGTATGTTTTCTGTGCTAAAAAGTCCCTGGTTGGTTGGTTGGTTCGGCACACTAATAATCTTATCTAATCCTACAAAATGCTTGTGAACAGAATTATGAAAATACGTGACATCGGTGGTATCGCCTCAGACTCCAGGAATGGGTCCGACTCAGATCATGTTCTGAAAGGCCCAGGGAAGACAAGTTCAAACTTATTCTAAATAAACTGCTGTGTGCCAACCTGTCCAAGACAAAATCACATGAATAAGGAGGTAGTAACCCACTCTTAAAAAACATTGACCATAATTCTTCCTTCTGTTCAGAACTATCACCTCATGTGATCTGATGTGACTAGCTTCATGTTGCTATAAAGAGCATTGTCATGGTAATACAATTTATGTAAAAATGTTCAATGTTTCTGAACCAAACGTGGGCAAAACAAATATCTGCAATAAATACTACATTCCAACAACTAATTACTAAGTACACAACCCTGTGCACTTAAAAGAACCCACAAATCCGTTGGTTTATGACCAGATGGTGGCCACATGAATACGTGCAAACACCTAGTTGCGGGTACAGCAATGTGCAGTAAACTTGGACAAAGTACTGTGACTATGTGTCCCAGTCCACCCAGCTGTGAATGGGTACCTCGTTAGGATGAAAAAGCCACAATAACTCGGTGCGCCTAGTGGCTGCAAGAGTTGTATACTCCCCAGGGAGTTGAGATTAATAATATGATGAGCCGTTGAGATTGACATCCAATGATCGAGGGAAAAATTACCAGCGCCTTGAGTATGCACTAGTGCGTGGATATGTGCGCTATATAAATATCCTATAATAATAATAAAAAAAATAAAAAAATACTACTGCTGAATACTAAAATACTGTGGATACAGTGCTGCTGCCTTGTGGTTCAAAAGATCCTCTGGTTACAATCTCACTGTGTGACTCCTAAATCAGAGTTATTATCTAACACTAACACTAACATTAACTAACACTTCTGAGTCTCTCACGATATTTACGCTTAACACTTGGAAATGATGTACCAGTAGTTTGTCCTTGTGGGTCCTTATCATAACTTGTCCTTTACTATAAGGTTATCCTTACAGAATATGGTGATCTCTCTGATGAATATTCTAATTGGGTTTCAGGGTCTTTAATAAAAATGACTATCCAATGTTCTGTTCACATATGTGGGATTACAGTGAATGAGTAGGTAAACATTACGTTGAATAGTATTTCAAACATGTCATATCTTGTGAGAGGTTGAAGGAAAGCCTAAGTTGTAGTAGTTCTGAAGTTTAACACTTCAGTGAAACCCACAACCACAAGTATGGTACTGTGTGACTACACAATGCTCTGGACAAATTCCCACACAACATTTTGCTAACAGACATATACTTCAGTGTATACTATTAATTTACACTACTACTACTTCTACTTGATTGTATTTTACTGCTTCTTAACTGGGCTATTCTTTTTCCTAACAGATATATATTTCGGTTTTGGAAATTGGAGCCATCAAACTCGATATTTGAAGGGTGGTCTAACCAATAATAGCAAGGTAAGTCTAGTCACTTAACTTACACTCTCTTTGGTTTTGCTCTATGCAAACATGATATATTTCTTCTTTCTAAACACACATTTTTGTTATGTTAATTCACATACTATATCTCTACTGTGCAGTAAAATGTACATAATAAAAAATTACACCAATAAAAAAAATAGGTCTGTCAAAAACCTGAAAATATGTTACCGTATAATGCCGTAGATAAGCCGATCTTATCTGTTACAGTAACGTGTAAATAGATCAAAAGTAAATTGAACCTGAGTTGTCCATGTTCTTGTGATATGTTCTCAGCCAACAATAACTCTTTCTATGTGAACCTCATCTCGAGATCTCAGGACACTTATATAGTGAAAATCACAACCTTAAAATCAGGGTTTTATGCGACACACAAATGTGTCCAGTATGCACAAATGTAGAAAATGGACACGAAAGGGACGTCCTGAGGGATGTGCAATATTATTCATTGTACCGACAACACATCTATGACTTTGCTAGGGGTTTGGTTGTTTCTTTCAGAGCAGTTATATGCATCATTTCATCCACCAGTCCATATGATCAAGGATTCATTCCAGGCTCTAAACAAATAGTCAAAACATGCAGTTCTCTTCAGTTACTTCACAGGATCCCCAGGCTGCCTGCAAGGACCCCTAAAACTATTAACTAAGGGTCTCTGGGACACCCATGTTTGTGAATTGATGTAAAACCCTGCTTAACATTCAACTTTGTATCATGCAGAATGACTCAAAGTTAATATTTTCATCAATTTGAAATCAGCCAATCTCAAAGAAATGTGAATTTCACACATGTCTTGAATTTATTTTCAATCGTCAATAAATTTTCTTCATAAAATTAAAAACAATCAATAGAAAATTGTTGAAATCAACTTAGAAATTAAAAGGTTTTGCTCCACCAACATGATTTCTTAACCTTTTTATTAGGGTGCAATAAAATGTGTTTTTTTTCCTCATTTGCATTTTTGCAATGCATATTGTAAGCTAGCTTCAAGAAAAAAGATTCCAGGGAACAGTTAACATTCATTCTTTTACCCTATCTCTCACAAAAAATAAACACAAATGTATCCTAGAATTAGAAAACCATAAATTTCAGAAATATAATCCCCACAACATATTACACCTGTAATTACTATTGTGTTGTAAATTCTTTCTGCAGCTAGTGAGAAAATATCTTGAATAGTGTAACTGCAAAAACTCTGCCATGGCAATGGATTTCCCGGTGTAGCAGCATCAAGCAGAGCTTGCCTAGTCCTTGTGCTGTTTGGGTTTGGGGCCCTGAGTGCTGGGGACGGCGCCTGAGCGGAACAGAAGCTGCCAGTACCAGACCAGACCCAGGACACAGAATGAGGTCACCACAAAGGTATACTCAGCATGGTTGGGAAACTCAGTGCCACAAATTGTATACCAGTCTTTACCACTAGGGGGCTGTTTCTTCACGCAGTGGAAGTCGAAAACATCTTCATCATACTTGCTGAGGCACAAATACTTGTGCTTGGATAGAGTCTGCAATAGAAGTCAATTTAGTTCAGGAAGTGAAATAGTTTTGTTGTTGGACATTAAAATATTTATTTGATTGTAGTATTACTGTGGATTGTTTATAAATTCAAACAGGTCTTGATTAGATTTACAACCTACTGTGATTGGTGATATATTGCCGTCTGTGGCATAAAACAATATCCACTCACTATACATTCTCCCTCGACAATAGGGACATGAGCATAGACTAACGATCCCCTCTTAAACAAATAAAATCATTGGACAACAACTTACAATAAAAATCATGTCCAAAACATTAAGTCTTGTTGGTTCCCCATTACTTCAAACACAGTTGAAAACAACTTGGAAGCACTGATAGTGAGAACAATGACACCAAAATGCAGACATTGTTTCAATAACCGATAGACATACTTACCATCCCAAATGGAGTCTGGACTGGCAATGTTGTGTTGCAGTTGCCAACTGGCTGGTGAAACCCAGTTGACTGGATTTTCTCCGGCATCGCTGTGAACACCAGGTAGAGGTACAGCCCATAATGCAGCAGAACGCAGAGGAACACCTCACTGATAGCACCTCCTGGGAAAACAGGCATGAGGAGTGAATTTGCATGAATTGAGTGAGTGAGTGAGTTTAGTTCTATGCCGCACTGAGCAATATTCCAGCTACATGGCAGCGGTTGCATGAACTGATTTTGGGTGAGGGAGTAACATGTTCAAGAGTAAGGTTCCAAGTGGATAAGATTGCAGGATGTGCAAGAGTTTTTAAGATGAGTCTGGGATAGACATGGCCACTAGTCTGTTTTCCTGACACTTTATATCAAGAGCGATATTTACATAAACAGCTAGTCTGCAGAATATGTACATTTGACCAGTGGTGTCAATTCCAGCATGTAGATGAGTGGGTGTCTGTAAGACATGTACAAGAGTGAATGAGTGAATTTGTGTGACTTTTTTAGAGTGGGTTTAGAAGACAAGAACAAAAGGAGTGAGTAAGTGAGCGAGTGTGTCAGACATAACAAGAGAGTGAATTGTGTTTAATTACATTTTGAGCAGTTGATAAGTTGTGAGTGTTCAAGAGTATACTCAAACACAGGGACACCCTGAAACCTGTCTGTTCACATGAGGATTATGACAAGGATCCCTAAATGTTCAGCTTGGAAAACAGCATGGAGGTTCAGCTTAAAGTGGGATGTGATTTGGATCACAGCGACATTGAATTTGGAATTTAACTCAACAGATCCTGACACAACTAAGGGATGTAACTTTGTACACCTTACACACACTCCAAATGGTGTTGATAAGACATTCTTAATTCTAACATCTGAGATACAGTTGATGTGAATATACATGTAACAGAAACTTAATGTTCATAGCTCAAACAATTATGATTATCTAATTGTATTTTCTTTCTCAAAGTGGCACTGTCGTACTACAAAAAAACTACAAACTATGAAAGAATCTTTATCATCAAGGTTAGCAAAGTGATATAACTAAACAGGTAATATGCTGATAGAGACATGAAGTATTTACTTGACTTTTGAGGTCCCCTGGCTCCCTCTAGTGGTGTTCTGTCTGCAATCCACACAAGGATGCTGTAAACTCCCAGCAGCATGAGAACACACACCTCTGTGTGGAGCTTGAAGGAGTCATGTAGTGGGTGGTAGATGGGCAGAAACTGTAGGACTCCCAGAGGCATGGCCAGAAGGCCAGTTGTCACAGCAACCATCAGCTCCAACAAGAACCTTATGCCAAAATACCAATTTTGACCATTTTATACAATAAAACAAAAAAACAGAGGCAGAGAGTAATATCAAAACATTTGTTTGGCTCATGAAAAGCTCTGTAAAACCACATCTGTGTCACACTGAACACTGTGAAATTCGCCCACGAAAAAGAGGTAACACAACATACAAATGGAACAGTTATCTCCCTTTAACCATACCTCACCGAACCAACATTTAAAAGTTGTAAGTGTATTTAAATAAAATTTATGCCTTTTGAGAGTTTCTGTGAAGCCAAAGAATAGAATAAATAGACTTCATATGTAGAAAGAATGAGTATGGTTTTATATCACTTTAGAATACCCTTAATATTTCTATTTGTGAACATGAGGACTATGATAAAGAGGGCAATAACAACGCTCAAGACCCCCTGAGCAAGTGAGTATGATCTTTTGCTGCTTTTAGAAATATTCCAGAGATATAACAGCGGGGACCACACTCCGGCGCAGTGATGACATAGCATAACATTACTGCCACAGGCTAATTTGCATATCACATAACCGGACTTTTCACTTGTTTGTAAACAAACACACATTTTCATAAATAAGAAGACACTGACCCAACGCAAGCGATTTGGTGAGGTCTTCATAATGTTTTACATTGTTACATAACTATTCGTCTACAACTGCGACAGTACGGTTTATGACAATACATATTTATATATTAAACAGGCTGCATCGTTTGCTCTCCATAAGGCTTCAATGACAGCACGTGGAGCCGTACAACCCATGTAAACAAGGATCGCACCGCAAATCGAAATAGCGTTACACGTTTTAGGATATTTTCTCAGTGAAACTAAACCATAAAATTGATGTTTAATTACATATGTAGACTCATCAAAAATAAAACAGTTAAGAAATATGCACATTATATTGAATGGACTGTGTAAGATGTGACAAATCGTCACATCTTTCTGGCCTGTGGCAGAGGTACTATGCTGGTCACATGGAACTCTGGGTAGGAGAGTGAACGGGGACACTAGAAATGGGCCTCAGCAAATATCCCAAAGTGAGAAATCAAACCAAACCTTCTGTGTGGTGACTATATCAGTGGAATGGGAAAAGTGAAGGTATTACCCAGCAGACTGGAACTTGTTTGCTCTCTGACACAAACAGTTGCGGAGTCCATGGAAAACCATAGTGAAGCCTGCAGCAAAAGTAGCGTTGAAGTAGTAGCTGGTCCAAGGCACGGAGTAGTGGCGGTCGTAGATGTTGGGGTCATCGTCATGCCACGTCCACCACAGCAGCTTGATGCCCATAATGCCGTAGGGAACGTCCAGGATAACAACACTCAGCCCCACTGTCAAGCAATAAGTTAATACATGTGAAGAGCCCAACTGTTAAGCAACACAATCAATAAACTGTGATGAACCCCATTGTCAAGCAATACTATGTCATAGTTCTTTGTTAACGAAAACGGACATCTAAATTATTTCTAGCAAAGCAAACCCGATTTGAAAGAACTTGGATTACAGTCAAAAATAATTAATAGCAACAGTTAAAACTGTCATTTTATCTCCTCTAAGGAAGGAAACTTGCACAATTGGAACATGACTCTGTGAAACCACAGGATGGATTGGCTAATATAACTTAGCCGCGAATGGTTTGGCCCATCCCAACAGCTTCTTAATACAACATACCTGCGAATGGTTCGGCCCATCCCCAAGGTTCTTAATACAACACACCTGCGAATGGTTCAGCCCATCCCCCCATCTTCTTACTACAACATACCCGCAAATGGTTCAGCCCATCCCCTCGGCTTGTTAATACAACATACCTGCGAATGGTTCGGCCCATCCCCCCATCTTCTTAATACAACATACCTGCGAATGGTTCTGGCCATCCCCTCGGCTTGTTAATACAACATACCTGCTAATGGTTCGGCCCATCCCCCCCAGCTTCTTAATACAACATACCTGCGAATGGTTGGCCCATCCCCAGCATTCTTAATACAACATACCTGCGAATGGTTCAGCCCATCCCCTCGGCTTCTTAATACAACATACCCGCGAATGGTTCGACCCATCCCCTCGGCTTGTTAATACAACATACCTGCGAATGGTTCAGCCCATCCCCATCTTCTTACTACAACATACCTGCGAATGGTTCAGCCCATCCCCTCGGCTTGTTAATACAACATACCTGCTAATGGTTCTGGCCATCCCCTCAGCTTGTTAATACAACATACCTGCTAATGGTTCGGCCCATCCCCTCGGCTTCTTAATACAACATACCTGCTAATGGTGCAGCCCATCCCCTCGGCTTCTTACTACAACATCCCTGCGAATGGTGCAGCCTATCCCCTCGGCTTGTTAATACAACATACCTGCAAATGGTTCGGCCCATCCCCCCAAGCTTCTTAATACAACATACCTGCTAGTGGTTCTGGCCATCCCCTTGGCTTCTTACTACAACATCCCTGCGAATGGTGCAGCCCATCCCCTCGGCTTGTTAATACAACATCCCTGCAAATGGTTCGGCCCATCCCCTCGGCTTGTTAATACAACATACCTGCAAATGGTTCGGCCCATCCCCTCGGCTTGTTAATACAACATCCCTGCAAATGGTTCGGCCCATCCCCTCGGCTTGTTAATACAACATACCTGCAAATGGTTCGGCCCATCCCCTCGGCTTGTTAATACAACATACCTGCAAATGGTTCTGCCCATCCCCTCAGCTTGTTTCTACAACATACCTGCCAATGGTTCTGGCCATCCCCTCGGCTTGTTAATACGACATACCTGCAAATGGTTCTGCCCATCCCCCAGCTTCTTAATACAACATACCTCGCGTAATGGTTGGCCCATCCCTCGGCTTCTTACTACAACATCCCTGCGAATGGTTGGCCCATCCCCTCGGCTTGTTTCTACAACATACCTGCTAATCGTTGCCCATCCCCGAGCTTCTTAATACAACATACCTGGGAATGGTTCGGCCCATCCCCTCAGCTTCTTAATACAACATACCTGCGAATGGTTCAGCCCATCCCCTCGGCTTGTTAATACAACATACCTGCGAATGGTTCTGGCCATCCCCTCGGCTTCTTAATACAACATACCTGTGAATGGTTCTGGCCATCCCCTCGGCTTGTTAATACAACATACCTGCGAATGGTTCGGCCCATCCCCTCGGCTTGTTAATACAACATACCCGCGAATGATTCGGCCCATCCCCTCGGCTTGTTAATACAACATACCTGCGAATGGTTCGGCCCATCCCCTCGGCTTCTTAATACAACATACCTGCGAATGGTTCGGCCCATCCCCTCGGCTTGTTAATACAACATACCCGCGAATGGTTCGCCCTTCCCTCGGCTTGTTAATACAACATACCTGCTAATGGTTCGGCCCATCCCCCCAGTTTCTTAATACAACATACCCACGAATGGTTCAGCCCATCCCCTCGGCTTGTTAATACAACATACCTGCTAATGGTTCGGCCCATCCCCCCCAGTTTCTTAATACAACATACCTGCGAATGGTTCGCCCATCCCCAGCTTCTTAATACAACATACCTGCTAATGGTTGGCCCATCCCCCAGCTTCTTAATACAACATACCTGCGAATGGTTCTGGCCATCCCTAAACTTCTTAATACAACATACCTGCGAATGGTTCTGGCCATCCCCGGCTTGTTAATACAACATACCTGCGAATGGTTGGCCAATCCCTCGGCTTGTTAATACAACATACCCGAATGATTTGGCCCCATCCCCGGCTTGTTAATACAACATACCTGCGAATGGTTCGCCCAATCGGCTTCTTAATACAACATACCAGCGATTGGTTCGCCCATCCCCCAGCTTCTTAATACAACATACCCTGCGAATGGTTCGGCCCATCCCCTCGGCTTGTTAATACAACATACCTGCTAATGGTTCGGCCCATCCCCCCATGCTTCTTAATACAACATACCCATGAATGGTTCGGCCCATCCCCCCGAGCTTCTTAATACAACATACCTGCGAATGGTTCAGCCCATCCCCTCGGCTTCTTAATACAACATACCTGCGAATGGTTCTGGCCATCCCCTCGGCTTCTTAATAAAACATACCTGCGAATGGTTCTGGCCATCCCCTTGGCTTGTTAATACAACATACCTGCAAATGGTTCGGCCCATCCCCTCGGCTTGTTAATACAACATACCTGCAAATGGTTCGGCCCATCCCCTCGGCTTGTTAATACAACATCCCTGCAAATGGTTCGGCCCATCCCCTCGGCTTGTTAATACAACATACCTGCAAATGGTTCGGCCCATCCCCTCGGCTTGTTAATACAACATACCTGCAAATGGTTCTGCCCATCCCCTCAGCTTGTTTCTACAACATACCTGCCAATGGTTCTGGCCATCCCCTCGGCTTGTTAATACAACATACCTGCAAATGGTTCGGCCCATCCCCCCCAGCTTCTTAATACAACATACCTGCGAATGGTTCGGCCCATCCCCTCGGCTTCTTACTACAACATCCCTGCGAATGGTTCGGCCCATCCCCTCGGCTTGTTTCTACAACATACCTGCTAATCGTTCGGCCCATCCCCCGAGCTTCTTAATACAACATACCTGGGAATGGTTCGGCCCATCCCCTCAGCTTCTTAATACAACATACCTGCGAATGGTTCAGCCCATCCCCTCGGCTTGTTAATACAACATACCTGCGAATGGTTCTGGCCATCCCCTCGGCTTCTTAATACAACATACCTGTGAATGGTTCTGGCCATCCCCTCGGCTTGTTAATACAACATACCTGCGAATGGTTCGGCCCATCCCTCGGCTTGTTAATACAACATACCTGAATGATTCGCCCATCCCTCGGCTTGTTAATACAACATACCTGCGAATGGTTCGCCCATCCCCTCGGCTTCTTAATACAACATACCTGCGAATGGTTCGCCCATCCCTCGGCTTGTTAATACAACATACCCATGAATGGTTCGCCCTTCCCTCGGCTTGTTAATACAACATACCTGCTAATGGTTCGGCCCATCCCCAGTTTCTTAATACAACATACCCACTCGAATGGTTCAGCCCATCCCTCGGCTTGTTAATACAACATACCTGCTAATGGTTCGGCCCATCCCCAGTTTCTTAATACAACATACCTGCGAATGGTTCGCCCATCCCCAGCTTGCTTAATACAACATACCTGCTAATGGTTCGGCCCATCCCCCCAGCTTCTTAATACAACATACCTGCGAATGGTTCTGGCCATCCCCTCGGCTTCTTAATACAACATACCTGCGAATGGTTCTGGCCATCCCCTCGGCTTGTTAATACAACATACCTGCGAATGGTTCGGCCAATCCCCTCGGCTTGTTAATACAACATACCCGCGAATGATTTGGCCCATCCCCTCGGCTTGTTAATACAACATACCTGCGAATGGTTCGGCCCATCCCCTCGGCTTCTTAATACAACATACCCGCGATTGGTTCGGCCCATCCCCCCAGCTTCTTAATACAACATACCCACGAATGGTTCGGCCCATCCCCTCGGCTTGTTAATACAACATACCTGCTAATGGTTCGGCCCATCCCCCCATGCTTCTTAATACAACATACCCATGAATGGTTCGGCCCATCCCCCCGAGCTTCTTAATACAACATACCTGCGAATGGTTCAGCCCATCCCCTCGGCTTCTTAATACAACATACCTGCGAATGGTTCTGGCCATCCCCTCGGCTTCTTAATAAAACATACCTGCGAATGGTTCTGGCCATCCCCTTGGCTTGTTAATACAACATACCTGTGAATGGTTCTGGCCATCCCCTTGGCTTGTTAATACAACATACCTGTGAATGGTTTGGCCCATCCCCTCGGCTTCTTAATACAACATACCTGCTAATGGTTCAGCCCATCCCCTTGACTTCTTAATACTACATACCTGCAAATGGTTCTGGCCATCCCCTCGGCTTGTTAACACAACATACCTGTGAATGGTTCGGCCCATCCCCTCGGCTTCTTAATACAACATACCTGCGAATGGTTCTGGCCATCCCCTTGGCTTGTTAATACAACATACCTGTGAATGGTTTGGCCCATCCCCTCGGCTTGTTAATACAACATACCTGCGAATGGTTCGGCCCATCCCCTCGGCTTCTTAATACTACATACCTGCAAATGGTTCTGGCCATCCCCTTGGCTTGTTAATACAACATAACTGTGAATGGCTCAGCCCATCCCCTCGGCTTCTTGATACAACATACCTGCGAATGGTGCGGCCCATCCCCCCAGCTTCTCAATACAACATACCTGTGAATGGTTCGGCCCATCCCCTCAGCTTCTTAATACAACATACCTGCAAATGGTTCGGCCCATCCCCTCGGCTTCTTAATACAACATACCTGCGATTGGTTCGGCCCATCCCCCCAGCTTCTTAATACAACATACCCACGAATGGTTCGGCCCATCCCCTCGGCTTGTTAATACAACATACCTGCTAATGGTTCGGCCCATCCCCCCATGCTTCTTAATACAACATACCCATGAATGGTTCGGCCCATCCCCGGCTTCTTAATACAACATACCTGCAAATGGTTCAGCCCATCCCCTCGGCTTCTTAATAAAACATACCTGCGAATGGTTCTGGCCATCCCCTTGGCTTGTTAATACAACATACCTGTGAATGGTTCTGGCCATCCCCTTGGCTTGTTAATACAACATACCTGTGAATGGTTTGGCCCATCCCCTCGGCTTCTTAATACAACATACCTGCTAATGGTTCAGCCCATCCCTTGACTTCTTAATACTACATACCTGCAAATGGTTCTGGCCATCCCCTTGGCTTGTTAACACAACATACCTGTGAATGGTTCGGCCCATCCCCTTGGCTTGTTAATACAACATACCTGTGAATGGTTTGGCCCATCCCCTCGGCTTGTTAATACAACATACCTGCGAATGGTTCAGCCCATCCCCTCGGCTTCTTAATACAACATACCTGCTAATGGTTCTGGCCATCCCCTTGGCTTGTTAATACAACATAACTGTGAATGGCTCAGCCCATCCCCTCGGCTTCTTGATACAACATACCTGCAAATGGTGCGGCCCATCCCCCCAGCTTCTCAATACAACATACCTGTGAATGGTGCAGCCCATCCCCTCAGCTTCTTAATACAACATACCTGCAAACGGTTCAGCCCATCCCCTCAGCTTCATATGTCCGACAGCCACCGATGCCACATAGTAATACACAGGGTCTGTAACAGGCAGTATAAACTGAGATCAGTCTGCAGGTAAACATTTGTGATTGTTTGACTATCAACTGAAAAACAGAAACATCAAACTTATACCAAAACTTGTTGCATCTTGTTTGACACTATTTGCCTTAACACTGTCTTTGTATACATGACACAAAGGGTGCATAAAAACATGCAATGTTTGTGTTCTGAGATTTAATATTTTATAGAATGTATAGTAGGCAGGACCCAAGGCCATACTGAAATTTCCATAGAGAAACTGGATACCCAATGATTCAATGAATACATGTGAGCAACTGTCTCATATTGTGTTAAAGACTACAATGGGTCCATGACAAGTTTGGGATAATAGCAGAAAATCAAGGATGGAAATTAACCAAGAAGTTCATTGCCATGATATTATATAGCTCTACACTCCTTCCACCAACTTCTACTACAGTCTGTTTGGGTCAAAATGATACCGATGAATCACAATCTAACTCAAAATCTATTCATGATCAAACATTCATTTCAATGCAGTATGTAATGAAAACATCAGACCAACTCTGGAAAAAAATTTCATAACGTTTTTCTCCAAAATAAAAAAGTTACTTTGCAAACTGTCATCATTTTGTTTTGATTTCCATGTTAAGGTTTATGAGGATAAAGTATCAGTACACTGTTGCAGGAACAGCCTCAAGGGCGGGAAGCACGTGCAATTGTGATGTCACATCAAGCATAGCCAATCAATTTATTGACACAGTACACAAGACAATAAAATTCACTTCTGACATCAAGTCCATTATTTTCAAAGTTTATGATTTTTTTAGAGGTGAACGTGAAAGGGGTCGCCTTAAATATGCCCTTGGTAAATTTGTTAACACACAGCATGTGCAGTTAGGTTGTCTGAAAGACAATTGAAAAGGTTATTGAGACAGCGTGCAACGAGTCAAGCAAAATTTAGGGGGTCGTATCAAAATCTCCACTTTTGAAAGTTGACAAAAAGTCTGACTGTTTTCAGAAAGAGTTAGTAAGAAATGCTATTAGAAACCTCTATAGATAAAATAAGTTCTTTTCCTCATGCATTTTGCAAAAACACATGGATGCAGAACATTCGTTGACTATATCCAAATATCAGTTTTGCAAATTATGCATAAATTTGGGTTTCGTTACAAAAAGGTATATGGGGAAAACAGGCGGGTGCTATGTGAAAGTGCTGACATGGACATGTTGAGATTACCAGTGTTTTTGGATGAAACATGGGTGAACGCCAGCCACACTACAAGCACACAATGGGTAGATAGCTCTACAGAACCATGTAACATGAAACTGATCTGGGCAAGTGTGAGCAACTTATTGTGTTACATGCAGGTTGTAAAAGTGTGGGTTTTCTGCCTGATTGTTCGCTCCTGTTTAAAGCAAAATTCAGAGACAACAGAGATTACCACACTGAAATGACTGGGAAAGTTTCCTTAAATTGGGTGAAAAAAACGGCTGGTATCAGCATTTCCTCAGAAAAGTTGAACTGTTATGGACAACGCACCATATCATGGCATGCAGGATCCAGATGCATAAGCTCCAACATCCAACAGCAGGAAAAGTGATATGGTAGCAGGCTAGAAAAACAAGATGTTCAGTTTCCATCAGAAGCAAATAAACATGCATTGTATGACATAATAAAGTGCAACAAAACAACACCAATCTATAAGGTAGATCAATATCTCAAAGCTGTGGGTCGAAGTAAGCCCTCTGATTGGTCAACACTTGTAAATCGGCAAATTTTTCATTATTAGCAGGAATTTTGAATTTCATCAACTGCTTGACTTGTAAATATTCGGATTTTTTCTCCAGAGATGGCTTCTCAAAAGAAAGCATTGGCTGTAAATGTCTCCTTAACAAACGTTGACCAATCGGGGGCTTGCTTCGACCACATCCCCATTTTGTGCGGACCTATCGTCATCCATTTGTGACTAGGACTTTCAGTTGATGGTCAAAATTGGCTTTCAATCAGCAGTAATAACAATAAAGAATTGGTAGGTGTCATGAGTGGTGATTGAGAAGACCAATCATCAATGATTATGTCTACATTAAATTCAATCGATTTCATGCGATGGAAGCGTTGTGATCGGCTAAGCAGGCGGTTTGGGTACACCGAAGCATTCAGCCTTGTCATGATTTAATCATTTATTGTACTGTGGAAGCATTTCGAGTCGGGGGTCATCTCAATTAAAAAAATTAAATCTTCAATCCTTGCAAAGACACAGGGCCTGTGGCCCAAGTATGGTGATCATGCTTCGACTTACACATGAACAGAATATGGAGTGGTAGTCGTTGTCCCAACAGCATCACGGATGACTGTGCATGCCAGTAGTTGTTGATGTCAGGGACAAAGTAGCTGACACACTCCATCGTCAAACCATGGAACACCGACGCTAGCCATAGCCACCGAAATCTGCCTCCATATCGCATAGCTGAAAGCAAGCAGTCAGCATTAAAGTGAACTGTGTCGTCATTTAATAAGTCTGAGTTAATAAGTAATAATAATAATAATAATGAAGGTAATTATACGCGAGTGAGTGAGTGAGTGAGAGTGAGTGAGTTTAGTATTACTCCGCTTTTGTGGGGAATCAAACTTGATCTTCGGTGTGACGAGCAAACACTTTAACCACTATGCAACCCAACCGCCCATGTGAATATGTTGTAACCTATCCACTTTTTTATATTTTGTTGTTTAATAGATAGGTATATGAAACATTACACCCACAACTAAAAATGGAATTCATACCTTTTAACTGAGATACCTTTTAATTCAATATATATAATTCACAGATTATCAACAAGGATTGATTACTAAATCAAATGTGAATGTCAAATTAAGCATATTACTTCCACTGTTGATTATTTTAGCAAACACTCCATAATTACTAAGTGTCTCGACTGAAGAAACTAAGTGCAGTCCTCCTCACCATGAATGAATGTAAGGAAAGCCATGACATAGAAGGCAATCTCACAGTACAGGAAGCTGTCATGCTTCTTGAGAATCACGTCAGCTTTACGAAATTTAATCCACCAGTTCCACTCCTGAAAATATAAATTTGAATTGTCATTATCATTCACAACACACAAAATTAAATCTTTAAACTTAATTGATTAGGAATAAATAATTGATTAATTGATACTGGGGCTGGCTGAAAATAGGACCAACAGGAGTAAACCTTCTATGCCATAGATCCAGGCACTTCAGCGCTGTTGGCTGATGTGTGTGGACCTCGGAGGGGATTATGTTGAAAACTAATTATCAGTTACCCTATCAATGCAGTCCAACACAACAAAGGCTCAAAATTTCCAGCCACCTGTCTCGTGTGGAAATATGGAAGAAATGTATTCATCAAGGCCTATAAACAAAATAACATCAGCTTTGTGTAAATCCATGTTGATTCCATGAAAATGACAAAAATACAAAATATATAAATTATCTAAAAGGCATAAGACACCATTCAACCTTGATTAGTGAGTGCACTAAAACACTGAACATGGGAGTCTGTAGTTACAAGATAGGCACTATTCCAGCCCTGTGACAGCTAGGTTCACCAGGAGGACACACATTATCCCTGGAGGAGCTTCCACTTCAACAACTTAATTGCCCCACTCTTACAACTGAAACAGCCCACTCTTACAACTGAGATAGCCCACTCTTACAACTGAGATATATGTAGTACAATTAACTGACAGTTTGTAAGAGTAAAATTGAAGTACAATGTGTAATCATTACATCTCAACTGTAAAGTCTGTAAGCATAAATATGAATTACAATATGTTATCAATAAATTATATCTCAACCATATATATCATTAAGCACAAAGCGTCTAAAAAAGAAATACAATATGTAATCATAACATTACATTTCTACTAAGTTTGAGAACGTAGAAATCAAATTAAACATTATTTCAATATATTTCAATACCTTAGGCAAGTGAGTGTTAAAGATTGCCGGGGTAATAATAATCAGATTGTTAGCACTATGAGCATTCACCTAGTGAATCGAGTTTAGTGTATTATAAATGCATGTATTATTATTAGTATTATTATCATTTAAATTCCTCAGCTCGTGACTGTAAAAATGAAATACATGTTTCTGGACAATGCAGAGATGATGTTTGTCACATGCCAAGGAACAATGTACAGGAGTAAGTAGTAGGCACGCCTCCACTCTAGCCACATGCTATTAAATTGGTAAAGCATGTGCAAATCTCCATTCAAGAAAATGTATGGCAGGTAAGCAGCAGGTGAAAGCCAGGTGTGATCAGACACGCCTACAAAATGGAGAATTCTGAAAATAAACAGGATCTGCAGGATCATTGCCGTGTTGCTTGCAAACAGAATACTAAAACATTGGGCTTTTGGACAACCTTATTCTGTTGTGGTTAAATATTTATCATCCATAACTGTGTTCAACTGTCAAAAACCTGATGACATTACAATGCTATGATGTCAGAAATTCGATGATGTCACAATACTATGATAACACTGCACTGCAAGTCTAAATTAGTAATGGAAGTACCGTGTTTAGAGATGTACATTTTTCATTGAAAACTACAGAAGACTGATTTTTTATGATAAATAGAATCTCACCCTCGTGTCTTCTGATATGAAATATATCAACACTCATTGATAAAAGTAAAACTATCCTCAGAGAGCGTTGGATATTTGTAACTTTATCAACTCGTGTTGATATAATTGATATCAGTGGACACTTGGGTGAGATTCTCTATATATCATATTGTCTATTTTTATTAAAAAACCCTGTAATTTAGCTAAAAGCTTGTTCATTATACTCTCGATATGGTAATGATAAGTGCTATGGCCTTATCATGCCCTCTATGGCCTTATCTTACCTTCTACGGCCTTATCATACCTTCTACGGCCTTATCATGCCCTCTATGGCCTTATCATGCCCTCTATGGCCTTATCATACCTTCTACGGCCTTATCATGCCCTCTATGGCCTTATCACACCCTCTACGGCCTTATCATGCCCTCTATGGTCTTATTATGCCCTCTACATAATAAAAGTGTTTACCAAGACAGAAACCAACAGAAATACTAGTTATGGGTTATTACTGTCATGTATCTGACTGAACATAGACTAACGCTTAGTCTCTGAATATATATAATTTTGATAGAAATAAACAATTCACTTTTTTTAAGAAGGAAATCAACTGTAAAATATAAGAATGTAAAGACCAGTTCAACTTCAAGGATAAAGAGGAAGTAGAATTTAGACGAATAACAGCAGAAAAGCTTGGCAAGGGGTCAAAACTATGATAGGAACTGATAAACCACTGGAAGAAGTTTCACTCGGTGATGCATTTTCATTTGTAAATCAACTAAATGGATTCCATACCAGATTTGACAACAAGGATTTTTCAAGATTATTAAAGGAACTGTTGAACAATATGGACAGTGATGATTACAAGCCACCTATATCCGAGGAAGAAGTATTGTTTAGATTTTCGAGAATATATATACTCATGGAAACGAATAAGGGAACACATGAAAGTAAAAGTGTTCTTTATTTATTCCCAGAATTTCACCCACAGTGCAATACATACCCTGTGAATAAACCTGGAAATATAAGGAAATCATCAGGACTGGATGGTTTAAGTGGTGTTCTGCTGAGAGAATGTAGAGAACAATTATTATTGATTTACTGTAAAATTTATCAGCTCTCTTTGGACACCCATATCATACCCAGATCATGGAAGTTATTCGAAATAATACCTGTATTGATCTCTCTCATGTTTTACATGAATGTTATGAACTTTTACCCTCTGGTCCTCTGTATTATGTACTGACGTGCAAACCTTAGCGTTATCAAATGTCTTTTGTACCAGTATCAATTTCTTTGTTGAATAACTGTTAATGTTCTCCATTCTCATATTTTATTACATTTGTATATAATTATGATAATTTCTTTATGTATTTATTTGATATGCATGTATTTATGCTCATTCAGATGTAAGACAAATTCCCTCATGGACAATGAAGAATTATCTTATCTTATCTTATCTTAAATTGAAAGACCGCCTCCGTGGTGTAGTGGTTAGAGCGTCCGCCCGGAGAGATGAAGGTCGCGGGTTCGATCCCCGACCGCGTCATACCAAAAGACGTTAAAATATGGTACTTGTTGGTCCCTGCCTGGCGCTCGGCATTATTGGGTACAACAAGGACTGGTCGGCTCGGAGTCAGTATACTGTGTCTAAGTGGGGTATTCATGCTTCACTGCGGCATGGTATCTCAGTGACCTAGCACTATAAAACCAGCTTAAGTCTGGGCTAGTACAAGCAGCCGCACATACACATACACACGCATGCACGTCGTCATATGAGCGAAATATTCTCAAGCACGACGTTAAACCCAATTTCACCTCACCTCTTAAATTGAAACGGAAATGGGAGATTCAGAACCTGAAGAAATCTGGACTTGCTTTATTTAGGGTTTTAGCATTGACAAACAGGCTGAGTGGAAACGACAATAATGCGGTTTAAGGACTATGAGACAGACAAGACCAAACATGGCAACATCTGTGTCACCCTGGTCATTATCACCTGTGGTGTTCTGCCAACTCATCAGCAACCACAAAGGTCACCTGGACTGCACTCTAGTGACCGATAACTGACCTCTTGCAAACACACACACAGTAGCTTATGATCTGCCAGTATTTGGTAACCACTCTGTCATGAATGTACAGCCCATAATCTGATCAACATTTGTAATAATATTGTAAATAGGTATGAAGTAGGATATTCTATTTGACAAAGAGTTAAACAAAATGAATAGCTTGATGTGCTTTATTTTGATCATGAATTTGTCATTACAATCAGATCATGGGGAAAATATTTTTCTTTTCCAGCCTTACTGTACTTGAAGAAATATGCACCCTTGGAGCTTAAAAAATTGAAAAAGCAAGTAGTTATTAAAACAATACACAATGGGTATAAATTTCATGTCAAAGTATGAACGTGAGAAAGCAAACTTAGTACAGTCATGTCTGAAACTAAAACTCGAAAGCAGTATTATGTTTTTAAACATGGTAAATGCCAACCTGAATGGACCAGTATTTTCCTGTTATGGTAAGCAGTTTATAAACACCGTAATCAATATTGTCCTTTGTGATTTCTCACATGATAACCTAGAAATAGATATCACACTGATATATGTTTACTTTTGTTCTCTCGACTAAATAAATAATGTCAGAGCTTTTAGGGCAAAGATGGAAGGAAATTAATCTGCAACCACATGTTACGTACCAAATATAAACTTTCTAACTTGTTTGTCAAGTGGATATTTTGCACTATAATAAACCGCAGTAGATCATCAATACAGCATTTCATACACCACTGTCTTATGAAACACAGGTATTAGTATTGGTCAGATTGGTAGGTCAGGTCTGCTTACTGAAGCAGGGTACCTGGTACAGCAAATACGATAATCTCCACGATTTGTCTGGGATTCTTTACAAGTGACCCTGGCAGACAATTCAGGACAAAACTCTCATTTTATTCAAAACTTCTTTACACTTATTTAAAAAGATTCAGAGGTAGGTTAAATTTGTATTCTGATATTGCATTCAATGCAATAATATAAAACTAACCATAAAATGTGCTATTTATTTATATTTTCATAAATAACTGACTGACTGTGTTTGGTTTATGCCGCTTTTAGCAATATTCCAGCAACAAGGTGGGGACACCAGAATTGTATTTCACATATTGCATTCGAACCGGGTCTATATAAAACTAACCATAAAACGCTTTAACCACTGGGCTACCCCACCGCCCCTTTCATAAATAAAACACAGGTTACCTCTACAAAGCAATATAATTCGTTACAGTTATTACATAAATTAAGAAACTTCTAATTGAAAACTGGGAATTTAATTGACATCTGTTGCAGATTTGGGGCCAAATATCAAATTTAAGCAGGTGTATATACATCACGGAATCCATTTCTGAGTTGAAAACAAGGTCAGCATATAACTAGTAAATCATCTTGCTAAACCTGCTGGACCTGCAGGTCAAA